TGATGGAAGTTTCAAAGAAACTACCCACCCTGTACATGCATAATCAGACCGAATTTACCTATTTCGAGCACCAGCTCGCCGTTTCTATTCGTACGGTTTCGACGTGTTGGGTCGTTGGTACATTTCAAGGTCCGATTTCGCTTTATGCCGTCGATAATTAATTATTTTCTATAAACAATACGTACGCGCATACCCGGTGATAAAAATAAACCGATTTTAAACATCCCACTGTTTTCTATTGTATTCAAAAACACATCGACATCTTTCGGAAGCTTATTCTTCAATCTAAAATAAGAAAATAAATATAAACTGAGACCTGATATTGTTTAGTTAGTTGAAGGTGGTTAAGAAGCGTACGCGAATATCCTATATCGATGTTGGTGTACCCAAATGTTAAGTACCTGGTTTTACGTAAGCTTATGTATAGGTAGGTATGTAATACAAGGATAAACGTTACATCTTTGAAGTTCTATTGCAGCGGTGATAGTTTTTACATAATATCAGTTTAAAAAATTGGCTTTTATAAAAGACCGTGCAACAAAAGTTTTTATTGCACGATTTTAATAGACTATTTCAGTCATTTTTAACGATGTTTATGTCTAAGTAGTTATGAAATAGCTAGAATTTTTATTGAAAATGGTGTTAATTGCAAAGTAGTGTAATGCACAGTATGTGAGTAGCGCCAGTGACATTTTTTGATACAAAGCACGATTGCAGATAAACGTCTAAAACTGTGTTCCGCATACTACTGTGGCTCAATGAGCTATTAGTTGTTGTCTCAAGTTACTTATTTGTGGAATAGTTTTAGTTTTTTTTGCCTGCTTCTTGTAATTTTTCCTAGTGTGTAAAAAATAATCAAAGAAACGGGTGATGTGACGTCACAACATGGCTTCTGTAATTTTTTGGACAATTAATTAAGATCTATACTTCTCTGATATATTTACACTAGGACCGTTGGCGGCGTTTTTTTTTGGTCCACCGTATAGCGCTTGATGCAGTTTCGGACCTTCGCAGGTGCCTATCCTTGGCGGCCAGATCTGTGCCTACGTACGTACGCGGATGTGCCGGCTCTGCTTTACGACCGTTTTCCGCGTGTGTACGCCAAGCCGTATATTTGCCGGTACGTCTAATTATGGTAGCGAAAACCCATGGTTGTTTTATATAATTATTATCGGCGGGATGTGGTACCTCGCAGTTACCGCGCTGAAGAGGTGGATGGCGGTGTAGCCCCCGGGATTGCGCAGCGTTTCCGTGGTTTCGATACGGAGAGTTCCGGAAAGTTATTTTTTTTTTGGTTTCGGTTAATAATATTCTGTATTTTCGTGATCGTTCCCTTCGTTGGTTGAGAAATGGCTGTAGACGGTCTGTGTGTTGCATTATAATTACAGCAAAGGTGAGATGCTATCATTTAATTTTGATTCATTATTTCTACGATTGTATTCATCTAAACTAGTCATAAAAATGTGTAGTCGTGTATTTAATAATAATATTATTAATAACATTAAAAATTATTTAAGGAATCTGTAGTGGTATAATCTTTTGTGTAACCAATGTTCATTGGCGACCGCTGGGCGCAGGGATGGTTCGATCGGACTGATTTTGATGTCGTTGTATAGGTTGGGCCTTTCTGCGTCGAATAAAAAATGATGAAGAGCTTTTAGTATTTTTCAGAGTTGTTATTGTGATTCTGGGGGTAAGTGATGTAAAAATTGACAAAATCCTAAACGGTTGAAATATTCTACAGGCGCGTTTTTGTAATATGTGCCATGGTATAAATAACTATGAGTTTATTTAACGAAGCTGCTTATTGGCAAGTTCTGTACCTTTTTTTCCATTTAAATCTGGACTTTGGTAAAAGTAAATCACTACGGACTTTTATATTCCTTACAAATCGTTAGCGAGAGCAGCAGGAATTGAACAACAGGACCGTAAATGGGACAGAGCACAGTTACGTCGCCCGAGATTTTTCCATTATTATAAATAATGGTCAAACCGCACTGTAAACAATGACGAATCCGCTCGTGTCGCAACGCGAAGAAAACCACCGACTGAAACCGTTTTTAATTGCTTATAAAAAGACTGCTCACCGAGTGTTAAGGACAAAAAAATTGCGAAACCGCCGACCGTCGCTACGTAGTTTCACTTTGCAACAACTTACCATACAATCAAATTTCGTAAGTGCAAGAGGGTATAGGCCATGCGGTGCGGTCAGACGAGTACCTGCACAGAGAGCGAAATTCGATATGATTTCAGAAACTGTCGAAAGAAAATAAATATTGGCGACGCGTTGTCGAGCTCGATTTTCAAAATAAACTCAACTTCAAATCAGATATTTGACTTCTCCGTTTGTTTTCGGGCTTCAGAACGATGTTCATTTTGTTTTCGTTCTTCTTTTTAAATATATACTTTACTATTTTCAATAACTGAGTCCAGACATAACTATGACGATGCGGCGACCGTATCTTTTACGGACTGTGATTTGACCAACCTGACCAACAAACGCTCTCCGGCATTGTCGGTTGCAGAATCTAAGCCCAAGGTATACGAGCATAAGGTGGACTCAAAACAGCAATATACAAAGGGAGTGTACGGAAAAAAATAGAAAAAAAAATAAAATGAAACGATTGTACATCGTAAGTACAAATATTCTGAGCTAGTATTTGCAGGCGCTAAAATTAATCGTGACGGGTACGTCAAGAATTAATTTCAGTCTTATCTGGAGTAACATGCCAGGAAAAAAACCGTAATTACCACGGTGTACGCTGATAAGGTAACGAATCGATTACCAGAATATCGACTAATAACGTGCTATCAAATTACTAGTAAAGTACGCGTAAGCGTTCGGGAACCTTCAGTGGCTGATCACGTCGTCGCACTTGCGATAAAATTTGTGTGTCACACGGCGTATGATCGAAATTTCCAATTGAAGTTGTACGGGGCGTCCCAAACTGCAAGACAGCCGACATGGTCTCAATTAATGAGGTAAAACGATTATTTTCGCGCGAAAAAAATACCTTAATTGTATTGGATTTTTTTTTTACTTTATTTCGGAGTAACTAATATTATTGTATTTTTAGAACATGTGGTTAAAAAGTGCAGCAGCCCCTACTTGACTGCAAACATTCGTAGTCTAATCAAATAGTAGCTCGTGTTTAAAAGGTGTGAAAATGTTTAGGCCACAACGGCTTTGGATTATTAGAAAAACGACGACAGTGTCTTTCTCTTAAGTGACGTCATCACACGCGTATAGGCATACCGTATTGTATTCACACCCTGGTAGCAGCTATTTTTGTTTCAAGTGTAAAATTAATTCCAGTAAGAATAAATTGCTGAATTATGTAATTCATGAGAAACTCCTGAACTGTATTAATGAATAATATCAATATAAAAAAACAACATTTTTTCATGAACTTCAAAAGCGATGTTAAATTATTTGTTCACATGTTTACCTCGGCATTATACTCTGTAAAAGAAGTATTTTTTCTTAGAAATACAATCAGGAATTGAAAGCACTGACAGAAATATCCAAACACGTGTTTCTGGCGTCCAATTCTGGGACACCCTGTTCAATCAGTACTTCTATGAAATCGTACCGTTATGCACTACGTTCACAGGCATATTTCGACAACTTATTCGTCCCATTTATACATCTGATCGTCGCGGCGTACCGCTACGACCGCAACTGTCATATTCGTATTTTTACCATCCTTTACCAGGTCCCTCAGAAAAGATTCTCGCCTTGTGCCGAGGCGAACCTTCATATGTTCCGATGCGCCTCTGTTTTCCCATACATATTGCCGCAATCCGACTCGGGTAATATATTCCGTGCGGCGCGATCCAAAGTGCCGTGTGATTCACGATCGAAATCCTCTTTCTCTTTTGCTGAAACAAATCTAGTCGCCGTGTAATTTCTATATCGCTTACCGCGTTTCTATTGGGACTGAAACTTACAGTAACGTTTGCAAGTCATCCTCTTGACGCCGACGGATCGGTTCTTTGTCGTTTTATGAGTAATAAATTCGAAAATAATCCTTGCGCGCTGTTGTGATTGTTATAGAATTTGTGTTCGTTATCGTAATAACAATATACGGGTAAGTCCCTGGTAGTACTAATTGGTAAGTCGAGCAGGCGCTGTGTCTAACATTGACCAAGTTAATTAGATGTTTGTAGACCTAAAAGGTAGTTGTAAAAGAATGAATATCCTAATTGATATGTAAAAAAAATTGGTGGTGTCTTATCTGGAAAGGTATCGGTTTCAAATGGTTCTGGATGTCACTTACCATTATAACTATTTACGTGCATTAATCTAATATGTGTTTACCTTGATTTGGGTGCGCATTCAAGTTAAAGTTTACTTGCATTCCTATGTCTATATCTTAAGCTAACTATTTTTAAGGCATTTGTTGCGTACGACTTACATTTCAGTTGATTATCAACTTTGCAGCAAAAGCTGTTGGTTATCGTCTGGTACGTCCTGCTTTGAGTGACTCACAAAAACGTGAAGGAACAGTAGTCTAACCTTACCTATTTAAATTATGAATGGTGGCGGACCCTGAATTATTATTTTGTATAACATATTATTTTAAATATCATTTGGACATATGTAGACTACTGATTAAAAGGGAATAATTGATAATCTATCTAGTCAACTATACAACTTATTATCAGTATCAGTACATTGTATAATTGCTGTATAAGCTATTTTGATCTCATATTTAAAATAATTTCACTTCTTACTGATCTCATATCTAAATATTTAAAAATGTTATCCCTATTTTACTTTTATTCTAGTTTTCCACTTGATTTTGTAATTTTAATAAAATTTTATTTCTGATCTCATATTTAAATCAAAAGTTTAAGAAATGTCTCATGTTTAAAACACATTTTTTGCATGTATTTGTACATTCTATAAGTATATTTAGTATTTATATATTCCTCATATCACTCACTTTGGTCTCGTATTTAAAGTACGTCATAAAACAGGTTAATTTTGTTTTCAGTACCCAATGACGATTTTGCCACCATACGACACGGCAAGGAAGAAAGAGCCTTCGGCCACCTTCAACACGGAGAGAGAAGCATGTCTGAAATATTTCGAAAGATGGAGCGAAACGGACCAAGTGGAATTCGTGGAGAATCTTCTAGCCAGAATGTGCCACTACCAGCACGGCCACATCAACTCCTTCCTCAAACCGATGCTACAAAGAGACTTTATTTCTTTATTACCAAGTTAGTACGATTCAAACAATTAAGTACCCACCAGTATTTTTTCGACCGATTATTACAAGTGTTTTATTTTCAGAGAAGGGTCTTGACCATGTAGCCGAGAATATATTGTCGTATTTGGATGCCGACAGCCTGAGAAATGCAGAGTTAGTTTGTAAAGAATGGTTTCGAGTGATCTCAGAAGGTATGCTATGGAAAAAGTTGATAGAAAGGAAGGTGAGAACGGACTCGTTGTGGCGGGGATTGGCGGAAAGACGACTGTGGTAAGTGTCCATTATATTCATAATGTTCAAATTTTTATGTATTACTTGGTTTGATCTCATGTTTAAATTAGCATTTAGACTCATATTTAATTTTTTTCTGTGAAAAATGTGTTTTTCATAGGATTCAGTACCTGTTCAAACCGCGACCAGGTGAAAACCATCGCCCACATGGCTTCTACCGGTCCCTGTATCCGAAGATTATCCGAGATATTGACAGCATCGAATCCAACTGGCGCAACGGCGAGCACGTTCTCCAACGTATCAACTGCCGCTCGGAGAACAGCAAAGGCGTCTACTGTTTGCAGTATGACGACCAGAAGATCGTTTCTGGTCTGAGAGACAACACGATCAAGATATGGGACAGGAGTACGTTACAGTGCACCAAGGTCCTCATCGGCCACACGGGCTCCGTGTTGTGCTTGCAATATGACGACAAGGTTATAATAAGCGGTTCCAGCGACTCCACCGTCCGCGTATGGAATGTGAACACCGGGGAGATGGCCAACACGCTGATCCACCACTGCGAGGCCGTCTTGCATCTTAGATTTAATAATGGAATGATGGTGACTTGTTCGAAGGCAAGTTTGAGGTTGAATTAATTGCTGTATTTTGATAACAGTGGTTCTGGTTTTTTTTTTTTAGGATCGATCCATAGCCGTGTGGGACATGACGTCGCAGACCGAGATTACCCTGCGTCGAGTGCTGGTGGGGCACCGGGCGGCTGTGAATGTGGTGGACTTTGATGAGAAGTATATAGTGTCCGCGTCGGGCGATAGGACTATTAAAGTGTGGAACACTTCGACGTGTGAGTTTGTGCGTACCTTGAACGGACATAAACGGGGCATAGCTTGTTTGCAGTACAGGGACAGACTGGTCGTCAGCGGCAGTTCTGACAATACCATACGGTAAGTGCCACTACTAAAATATTTGTGCTTATTTTAAAAAAATCGCGTGCCTGATCTCGTATTTAAACTAACTATGATCTCGCATTTAATTTGTAGATTATGGGACATAGAATGCGGAGCCTGCCTTAGGGTTCTAGAGGGGCACGAGGAGCTAGTTAGGTGTATAAGATTTGACGCAAAGCGCATCGTGAGCGGAGCTTACGATGGCAAGATTAAGGTTTGGGATTTAGTGGCCGCCCTAGATCCTAGGGCTCCGACCAGTTCTCTGTGCCTAAGGACTTTAGTGGTAAGTTTCTTGAAGTATCGCACTTTTAACTTTCTCGTTTTACAAATTCGAGGACTCCTCCCGTTCTGCCCGTAAGATTTACCAAAGTGAACTACTAAAGAATTATAGAAATGTCTCTTAAACTGTTGCAGGAACATACGGGACGCGTATTTCGATTACAGTTCGACGAGTTCCAGATAGTGAGCAGCTCCCACGATGACACGATACTCATCTGGGACTTCCTCAGCTCTATTCCAGAGACGAAGAACAGTTCGTCTGGCAACGGCGCAACCCGATCTCCATCACGTAAGTACAGTCGACGTCAATCTTCAACTTTCTGTAGTAATTGCAATCAGCCCAGCTGATCTTGACAGTCAAAGAAAGTACAAATCGGAAGAAAAATAATTTGGGAGTTTTTGCTGAAATTTTATTTTCTTGGAAATACAGTTACTCGTTTTATATGAATACATTTCGCATCAAATTAATGCACCATTAAAAATGTTTTCACGATACCATTAGTAAAAATTTATAAATGATCTCATATTTAAATGAAAAGTTTGACCTCATATTTAAACTCGCTTTGATCTCGTATTTAAAGATTGTTATTGTTATAAAAATAGTAAATGTCTACTTGAATCAGACCATAGTCCAAAGTTTTCGGACCAATTTGTTTTATAATTGATCATCTCTGCTGTTAATGAGATACACAGTTAAATGAAAACGTAGCGGTGTATTCTAAAAATTGAAGAAAGCTAGCACTCATAATGAATAAAACTAGTTATGGGACTTGGAAACCACCAATGTGCCTTCCTCGACGACTGAAAACATTTTACTTTGGTTTTATCTACCTATTTTTATAATTTTAAAAATATTTTATAACTGATCTCATATTTAAATGGAAAGTTTGACCTCATATTTAAACTCGCCTTGATCTCATATTTAAAGAGTGTTATAAAAATAGCAAATGTTTACTTGAATCAGTCCAGTTTTTTTTACCAATTTGTGTTTTAATTGATTATCTCTACTATTAATTGAGATACAGTTAAATAAAAACGTAGAGGTTTATTCTAAAAATTGAAGGTAGATAGCACTCAGAATAATAAATAAAACTAGTTATGGTACTTAGAAACCACCAATTTGCCTCACTTGACGACTGAAAACATTTTAGTTTAGTTTTATCTAAATGTTTTTATAATTTTAAAAATATTTTATAACCGATCTCATATTTAAATGGAAAGTTTGACCTCATATTTAAACTCACCTTGATCTCATACTTAAAATTGTTATAAAAGTAGGAAATGTCTTGAATCAGACCATAGTCCAAAGTTTTCTTACCAATTTGTTTTTTAATCGATTATCTCTGCTATTAATTGAGATACACAGTTAAATGAAAATGTAACTGTTTATTCTAAAAATTGAAGGAAGATAGCGCTCGTTATAATAAATAAAATTAGTTATGGGACCTAGAAACCACCAGTCTGCCTCCCTTCACGACTGAAAACGTTTTACGTGGTTCTACCTACCTATTTTTATAATTTTAAAAATATTTTCTAACTGATCTCATATTTAAATGGAAAGTTTGACCTTATATTTAAACTCACCTTGATCTCATATTTAAAGATTGTTATAAATACAGCAAATGTCTACTTGAATCAGACCATAGTCCAAAGTTTTCTGACCAATTTGTCTTTTAATTGATTATTATCTCTGCTATTAATTGAGATACACAGTTAAATGCAAACATAACGGTTTATTCTAAAAATTGAAAGATAGCACTCACAATAATAAATAAAATTAATTATGGGACTTAGAAACCACTAATCTGCCTCCCTTGTCGACTGAAAACATTTTACTTGGTTCTATCTACCTATTTTTATAATTTTAAAAATATTTTATAACTGATCTCATATTTAAATGGAAAGTTTGGTCTCATATATAAACTCGTCTTGATCTCGTATTTAAAGATTGTTAAAAAAAGATGTGGAAGGTTGGACAGTTTAATAATAATAATAATCCAGTAACGAATTTGCTGGAATAAAACGGGCAATATGGTTTGACAATCTAATTTAGTACGAAACGACATTGGTCAAGGAAAAATTAATATCTGTTTTTGAATAGAACGGATATTGAAGAATAAATGTTGGAATTTTTAGTGAAGCGTTAATTTCGATGCAAAGTGTATGTTAAAATGGGGTTTAGTAACTTGCCTCTCACATTTCAAAAATATCCTTTAACGGGACCGTATTTTTTCAGCATTTTCAACATTTGAGTGAAACCGTTAAATATTGACTATGGTTGTACAGACAAATAAAAAAATATATATAATTATATATGCATAAATTCAGATCTGCATCCCATGGATGTCCCTGAACGATTATAGGACTTTATTTAGACGCCTTTAGGAGTACCGATCAACGAGGACGTCACGTCGATCCGGTTGGTATTTCTGAAGCTTGACGAAATGAGTTATTTTTGTGATGAACACGAGAGAATCCCCCCTCCCCCTTCCCCCTCCCGTTTTATTTCCATGACAAAAAAAAAATTAGTAATTTAAACGTATATATCTTTAGTTCTATGAAGCGTTGAGATGGGAAACCGTTTGCGTCATTAAAGCAAATAAGAGAGAGGTAAAGATGTATACAGAGTGTTTGAAATTCACAGTGTGAAAAAATGGTTACCGATTTCTCAGCTACTTCGACGCGCTACCCGAAAACTTAATGAAATAACAATTCTACGACGTATTGGTAATTGTAAGGAAAGAAAGGGCAAAATTTCCGTTTATCCCGAAAGCTAGGTTAGTCCGAAGTTATCTTCAGTGTTGTGGATGCGAGACACTCTGTTGTCGTTTGTTTTTAGAGGTATAATCATTATAAGTGAGGGGAAAATAGTTGCGGTGGGCTTGCCCGAAAAGGTTGACGGAATCCCGTGTACAGTTAGAAAATTTCAACTTTTTTTAGGATAACTTTATAAAAAATATTATACCGCGGACGTTTACAGGTTCCTATCACGACTTAAGTGCAATGTGGGCAAGCGCACCGCAGTTTCGTTTTCTTGCCGTTGCTGCATTAGATCTTTTATAATTTAGTGTAAGGAGAAATTCACCATACAGTACCTATTTGTTAAATTATTGTTTATAAAACTTTTTAATAGGAATATCGATGTTTTGTTTTTTCACCCACGAAAGAGTTATATATTCGCTGTTGACCTAACTGGTTTAGGTCGATGCTTTTTTTATATATATATGTATGAGCCTTGTTTCCCTTGAAGGTTAAAAAAAAATCTAATCGTGTTAATAAGTGATCCGAGTAGACATTGCTTTTCGCAGTTCTGTAGTACCGACAGTATTTTAGTAGAGAAATTTTTTGCCAACGAATCGTGCAAAGACATTTTCCGATTCACTCCATCATGTTTCCATTTTCGTTTTTTGGGCGATTTGTTGTATAATTTAAACAGTTTCTGCCAAATGTAGTTTATACTGGTACATTTAGATTTACTGGAGTACTTATGAAAGCTTTTGTGATAAACCTATCCTAAAAACTGTGTATGGATGTTCTTTTTTACTATTAAGCGAGTGACTGTACTTTTCATCTATATGATTTTTTAAAAATTCAGTGAAAAGGTACTAATTATCTTTATATAAATTAAAAATGATGTACATATTGTAACTGTAGTATTTAATATATTTGTTTGCATTTACAATTGGATTTATTTATATTTTTGCGTGTAATATAAACTCAAAACGGCACTGTCTTGTTTAATTTCCTTACCAGGGTTCATAGCTCATCAGGAGTAATATAGAATTCCACGACTTTTCCAGGTTTTGCGGTTTAAAAAAAAATCCAGGTCACTTGTAGTTCATTTTTACATACTAATTGGTGTTTACGCATTAAACTTTTTAAATTGGACTCCATAATCTTTTTTATACCCGGGGACCACACACAGGCGGCAGGTGTCGAGCGACCCAGGTCTCTGATAGGCTGCCACAGCCACGTCCCCGAGCCTGCCTTAGGTCATCCATCCAAGTTCCAGCCTGTGTCCGTGATGCTTACCTCGGCCGATTGAAATCCATCGGCCAAGACACCCGGCTAGGCGGTCACTATTCCCTGTTTTTTATGAAAAATAATGAAGTTTCTGACTTCACGACTTTCCAAGTCGCTACCAACCCTGCTTACACTCATTACCACGCTGTGATTTAACAAGTTTCTTGGATATGAGCTTCGTTGTTTATTAACTTATTGTTTTCTCTGTAAGATGGTGCATTGTTCATTTAGAATTATCAACTTAAATGTAAATTTTGAACAATTAACATTTTAATTCAGTTTGAACCTTACCAATATCAGAAGTGGGATATTTTAATAGTCCAAAAATTGCAGGTGTTAATTATTGATAAAAGTTGAGAAAAAGGTAAGTCAAAAGTACTTTTAGGTTTATATTTAATAGTTTCTCGTAAGCTTATACAGGGTGTTGCAAAATGTTGGTCAGAGAATTTTAGAGCAGATTCTACATCCAAAAATATGAAAAAAATATATTGCCTATATTGCTTTTTCGAATTCTACGTGAAATTTGAGGGCCACTTTATTAAATATTCCCTATACCTAGGAGTTATAGATTTTGAGATATTAATTTTTAAAGAAAAGATTTGACAGATGCAACGGTCCGCGGAGATGCTAGTAACTCTTTACAGGAGCGTGATATCAAGCCGATTTTTGGTACCTGTAATGCTAAATTATGGTATACCAACAAATTAAAAGATTTAATACTAGGTGTTTCATTTTTGCGGTTACACTTTGATAACTTCAAACAGCTATAACTTTGTTAACTTAAATGGAACACTCTGTATTTTTTTACTGAGTCGCATGCAGATTGAAATTTCCTTTCAAGTCATATAAACATTGTTAGGGTTGCCGTTACTATTTTTTGATATATTTGCAATTTTCTATGGACTATTGGACATTTTTTGCTTGTATCGGACCTGTTGTCAAATTGGCCAGAAACACTCCAAAACAATTAAAATAACTTGACATTTGTCAAATTATCGTTGTCTGTAATGGTTTTTGCTGAATATTTAAATAAAAATACCTGGGGATCGTTTAAATCATACTTATGAGGATTATTTTAATTTGTTTGTTATTTATGGAACAAAGCAGCAGATTCTCTACACGTTCTTGGAATTACTTTGTCCATAAATAACAAACAAATTAAAATAATCCTCATTAGTATAATTTCCCAGTCATTTTTATTTAAATTTTCAGCAAAAACTATTCACACAATAATAATTTGACAACTAACTTGACAAATGTCATATTATTTCAATTGTTTTTTGGTGTGGTCAAGGCCAACTGGACAACAGGTCCGATACGCGAAAAAGTGCCCAAAAAATAGAAAATTGCAAATATCTCTAAAAGTAGCAACGGCAACCCTAACAATGAGTATATGGCTTGAAAGGAAATTTCAATCTGCATGTGACTAAGTAAAAAAATACAAGGTACCATTTAAGTTAACAAAGTTATAGCTGTTTGAAGTTATCAAAATGTAACCGCAAAAATGAAACACCTAGTATTAAATCTTTTAATTTGTTGGTATACCATAATTTAGCATTACAGGTACCAAAAATCGGCTTGATATCACGCTCATGTAAAGAGTTACTAGCATCTCCGCAGACTGTTGCATCTGTCGAATCTTTTCTTTAAAAATTAATATCTCAAAATCTGTAACTCCTAGGAATATTTAATAAAGTGACCCTCAAATTTCACGTAGATTCCGAAAAGGCAATAATATATAGGGTGTCCCATTTAAAATAACGAAGTTGGTGTCAACTTCCGGTATAACCGGTAGTGCTGAAGAGTTCTAGATATTTTAGTTGTGTTCTCTCCAGGGATATTGCCATGTTGCCAAATTTTCAAATTTTTCGGAGCAGTACCTTTCTAGATATCGATCGACGCTGTTCCCGGTGGGACACCCTGTATAGAGAAATAAATTACCCAAAAAACAATTTCCAATGAAAAATTTAGAAAATATCAATAACGAAACATTTTATTTTTGTTTCAAAAACGAAGTATTCGCGGACCTACGTTTATAACAATTTTTTCGCATTTTTGGATGTAGAATCTGCTCCAGCATTCTTTGAACAACAATTTGCGACACACTGTATGTACCTTCAGCATTATCAGTGATTTCTTGGAAACGGGTAATAATTAAGCAGCCGAATAGAAAAGCCACCCCGAAATTTCATTTCATTAATTTTTTATTATATCCTTCAAAATATTATGCTTTTAAAGTATTCGATATTCGAATTGAGACTCGCCATAGAGCCACTTATCAAGTATTTTTGCCGCTACCATATATTTTCTTGTCAGGTTAATATAAAGACTCGGCTAGCAAGTACGAATGTGTTAAATAAGATTGTGATGCAAAAGTGGAACAATGGCAACTTTTACTCCTGAAGAATAGTGTAACATAATTGCGTTGATCCTATACAATTCATGGCACAGGGTCTGTTATTGGCTAAGGGAGGCACTGCTTTACGTCATGTTACAATTGACAAAGTTTGACTATTTATCCCTTGATTTATCCCTTGGTTGTGGTTATCACAAAACAGTTTGATGCAAGTCAACAATGCCACAAACATAATTCATGAGCAACGAGACAAGTATACTCACAGACGCATTTTATTTAGCATCTTTTGAACATTTTTATTAGAAGTGCCTGTTGTGAGTATTCTTAAGAAATTATTTCCATGGGCGGCACATCAACAGGGGTTTAACGGATGATTTAACGTAATTCAACATTTTTGACGATGATGATAAGAAAAAAAAAGGAAAACACATTTTATATGAAATATATTGTACTAATTAGCAGAAATTCATAACACATTGAGATAAAAACAGTTACAACTATTAAAAAAAAACAGTGGAACTAATACAAACTCCGTAACGACATCCATCATTCAACACACACACCGCAGTCAGTCTCCGATTTGAATTTGTAATTTCCCAAACCCAAATTGCACATAAACACAATCTGCAATTTTTCATTGGAAAACCTATGTTGGCGAAGGTGTATTTCATCGTAATAAAGTGGCACCTTCAGAACATGATTTCATCACATATTTTACACTAAAAATGTTTGTACGGTCGACGTTGGTCGGTCGCGCTAACTTAATTCTGACCTTCCTTCTTTTCTTTGGATTCCTCGCCCTGCTGCTGCTGCTGGTCCTGGCCGCTACCGCTGGCGCTTTCTCTGTCTGCCGCCATCTGCAATGCAACCGGAAAACCGTCTCATACCGAGTGTTACAGCATAAAACATTTTTCTCGTACAAAATTTAGTATCACATACAGGGCGTCCCATTTTAATGTACCCCGCCGCTTAATTCGAGTTTTATAAAAAAATATTTCGAACAGAAGTTATCAGGTTTCGAGGGGGTCAAATTATGGTGACCTTGAAATTAACCTTAGTCAATTGAGGTCGCCACCTCGATTTTTTAAATGGAAACCCATATTTTTTATTGCAGATTAGTATTCTGCGGGAAAAAATACGTAACTTTTGTATAAAACATTTTTCTTGAAAAGGCTTCCTGTAATAAAAACATGGGTTCCTATTTAAAAAATAAAGGTTGACCTTGAAATAACCTTATAATTGACTAAGGTTAATTTTAAGGTCTCGGTAATTTGATCCCCCCGAAACCTTGTCAACTTTTGTTGGAAATATTTTTCACCATCCTGCTTATTTCTCGAGATATTAGCCTGAGAATTAAATTGGAACAGTAAAAGTATAGCGCACTCTATAGTAGGATCATATTCGATGCAAAGTAGAGCAAAAATCATTTTTAGGAGGCATAAGATGAACCATTTCAAATTTAAAATGAAATTGAATGTAAAATCTGAAATACCGCATCATATGCATTGTGTTCTAGCAGTAGCTGTAGTCACCCAGGTGCATCGAGTGTACAAAGTGGTCGGTTATACGCCAAATACTAATCTGGCAAACTTGATAGTAAATCAGAGAGCACCTCCAAAGAACAAGTAAACAACAGTGGCGCGTACAGAGGTAAAATGTAGTACATATGTGGAATTTAAAAAACAAATTGGATTTATAATAAATTACATTTAAAATAAATAGTTTATGAGAATAAAGGAATTTTTGTAGGAACAAGGGTGCCAGACATGAACTGATCCCTTCGTCATTTCATAATGTATAACGAAATTATTCAATTTCTAAAACCCTTAAAAAAGTATGACACTGGATCCCTTGACAGGCAATAATTTATTACTTTGCATCGAATATGATCCTACTATAGCGAGAGAAGGAAAAAAGTTTCATACAAAAGTTACGTATTTTTTCCCGCAGAATGTGAATCTGCAATAAAAAATACAGGTTTTCATTTAAAAAAATCAAGGTCGACCTTGAAATGGCCTTGATAATTGACTTCAAGGTCACCATAATTTGACCCCATCGAAACCTGATAAATATATATTAAATATGTTTGAAATATTTTTTTTATAGGTCGAATTAAAAATTTATGTGGCCTGGTACATTAAAATGGGACATCCAGTATAAACACTAGTCCCTAATGTCCTCATTTTCAAAACATACNGGAATTTAAAAAACAAATTGGATTTATAATAAATTACATTTAAAATAAATAGTTTATGAGAATAAAGGAATTTTTGTAGGAACAAGGGTGCCAGACGTGAACTGATCCCTTCGTCCCTTCATAATGTATAACGAAATTATTCAATTTCTAAAACCTTTAAAAAAGTATGACACTGGATGCCTTGACAGGCTGTGATTTATTATTTTGCATCGAATATGATCCTACTATAGCGAGAGAACGAAAAAAGTTTCATACAAAAGTTACGTATTTTTTCCCGCAGAATGTGAATCTGGAATAAATACGGGTTCCATTTAAAAAAATCAAGGTCGACCTTGAAATGGCCTTGATAATTGACTTCAAGGTCACCATAATTTGACCCCCTTGAAACCTGATAACTTTGAAATATTTTTTTTATAGGTCGAATTAAAAATTTATGTGGCCTGGTACATTAACATGGGACATCCAGTATAAACACTAGTCCCTAATGTCCTCATTTTCAAAACATACGTGTTAAAAATGAAAAATGTTCTCTAAATATTTTCTGAACGATATCAGACAAACATCAAAATGAAATTTTGGGTACAGAAAAAATTTGACGTGAAAAAGTTCAAGTTCAAGTGAAAGCCTTGATTCAAACCTACTTGTTACATTTTCTCTTCAAAAATTCAAACTGCAAATTTAATTTTGTTAAAAAATGATCGTTTTGAACAACTTTTTAACATTATAGAAATTAACAATTTGCCTCATGCCATTTTCCAGAAATATAACATTTTTATGCCAAGTCTAAAATGATTTTCGATCATGTTCTTAGCATTTTATTTTAGCACCTTTTTTCTTATTTTGACCTGAACTTGTGGTATTTTTTTACTTTTTCTCCACACCCCTTATTTCATGAAACTGGTTTGGAACCAGAAAACTCAAATAACGAAAGTGATGATCAGCCACAATTAATTAAAAATTTTTAAGAATGCGAGACAACATTGAACTGATTTTTTGACATTGGTGTTTCAAACGTCTAAAGTTGCGACATCACAAAATTAATATTTTTGGGTTTTTCCACATTGTTTACAAAAAAATAAAAATAAAAAAAGGAAAATATATCATTTAGTTGCATTTTTGATCCCTATAAATTGACAAAGCGTATTTAAAAAAAAATTTCTTACCTTTTTGTACGCCATTTCGAACAACTTAAGCGAAGACTGCTGCAACGTTGTGGTGGCCTTGCGGATCTCCTCGGGATCGGCCTCGTCCTTCTTGGTCAAGAACTCTCTAACCTTGGCGATCTCCTCCTTCAACTTGTCACACTCCTCCTTGGGCAGCTGATCCTTGTACTCCTCCATCTTCGACTCAGTATCGTGGACGATTCCCTCGGCTTGATTGATAGCCTCCACCCTATCCTTCTTGACCTTATCTTGCTGCGCGTACTGCTCGGCGTTCTTGACCATATTCTCGATCTCGTCTTTGCTCAGACCTCCCGACGACTGGATGATTATCTGCTGTTCCTTTCCAGTGCCCTTGTCCCTGGCGGAGACGTGTACGATGCCGTTGGCGTCGATGTCGAACGTAACCTCGATCTGAGGCACTCCTCTTGGCGCCGGCGGGATGCCCACCAGGGAGAATTGTCCAAGCAGTTTGTTATCACCCGCCATTTCGCGCTCGCCCTGATGTACTTTAATCTCCACCTGGGTCTGTCCGTCGGCGGCCGTCGAAAAGACTTGGCTCTTCTTCGTGGGGATGGTGGTGTTCCTGTTGATGAGTCTCGTAAAGACGCCCCCTAGAGTTTCGATACCGAGAGACAACGGGGTGACGTCCAGTAGGAGGACGTCGGTGACGTCTCCCGCTAAGACGCCTCCTTGAACGGCAGCGCCGACGGCTACGGCTTCATCCGGGTTTACGGCACGACTCGGCTGTTTCCCGAAGATGTCCTGTACGGTGCTCTGCACTTTCGGCATCCTGGTCATGCCTCCAACCAAAAGCACCTCTCCCACGTCAGATTTCCCCACTTCGGCGTCTTTTAATGCTTTCTGGCAGGGCTGGATCGTTCTCTTGATGTGGTCTCCCACCAAGCTCTCGAATTTGGACCTCGACAACTTCAGATTCATGTGTTTTGGACCGGAGGCGTCCATCGTCAAGTAAGGCAGGTTAATGTCGGTTTGTAACGAAGAGCTCAGTTCGCACTTTGCCTTCTCGGCGGCTTCTTTGAGACGCTGCATCGCCATGGGGTCTCTCGTGATGTCGATACCCTGCTCTTTCTTAAATTCGGATACAAGGAAATTCACTAGGACGTTGTCGAAGTCTTCACCTCCCAAGAAGGTGTCGCCGTTGGTCGATTTCACCTCGAATACGCCCTTCTGAATTTCCAAGATGGAGATATCGAAAGTGCCACCACCCAAGTCGTAAACGGCAATGCTGCGAGGAAATTTTTACTTTGAAAATTTTACATATGCAGGATTATATACACAGAAGTATAAATAAGAGATGTTCAGACGCTACAGCGAGTCAAATTTGTTAAAAAAATAATTCTAAAAGAATGCTTTGTATTATTAAAAAAAATTGGGTATTACAAATTATAAAACATTCATATAAAAAATTTTATGTAATTCGGACAAAGCGTTTTAGAGGTATATGAAAAAAAATTTAAATTTTGCCGATTAAGTGGTGAAACGAAGCAATTTTGAAGGTAAATTATCTTATTTTGACTCCAAGAATCTGTTAGTTCCATGTACAAGAAAAACCAATGAAACACCCTGTATTACCCGTGTTAACTGGACGAACGCTATAAGTATTTTATATATGCACTGACTTACATTTTGTCTTCAGTTTTATCCATGCCGTAAGCCAAAGCAGCGGCGGTAGGCTCGTTGATAACTCTCAACACGTTCAATCCAGCGATCTGGCCAGCATCTTTAGTAGCCTGGCGTTGCGAATCGTTGAAATAAGCCGGTACGGTAATAACGGCATTTTTAACCTTCGTGCCAAGATAAGCCTCCGCTGTTTCCTTCATTTTAACCAAAACGAAAGCGCCGATCTGACTGGGCGAGTACATCTTTCCATCGGTAGCCTGAACCCAAGCGTCACCATTGGAAGCTTTCACGATTTTGTATGAAATGTTATTCCTGTAAGAACCACAAATCAGCTTTTTAAATTATGAATGTTTTTAATAGACCTACATATCTTTTTTAACTTCCGGATCCTCGAATCTCCTACCGATCAAACGTTTTGTGGCATAGAAGGTGTTTGCGGAATTTGTGACGGCTTGACGTTTTGCGGGCATACCAACCAGGCGTTCCCCATCCTTGGTAAAGGCAACCACAGAGGGAGTCGTTCGGGACCCTTCTGAATTTTCAATTACCTTCGCCTGTTTGCCCTCCATAACGGCCACACAGGAGTTTGTGGTGCCCAAATCGATACCGATAACGGCACCTTTGACACCTTCGGATCTAAAAAGTGTAACATTTAAAAATCTGTTGATCTACCAAGCAAGTAATTAACTTACTTATTTCGGAACTGGCTGTCATATTTGGGATGTGGGGAGTACAAGTACGAGGGTTTCTAGAAAATAACAGAAAAAACGTTACGCTCTTAACAAGGCGATTGTGCAATTCTTATCAAGGGCAAACCGGGTATTCTAACCACACTTCTCACCAGCTACAATTTACACAATTGTTATAAAATTTCTACCAGATTAGACAGAAAATAATATATGCCCCCCAACTGTTACATAATACAATGAAAAGCGTTACATATATGGAAAATATACAAAAAAAAAATAAAAATGAGGAAATTAAAGCACGTCGTAGAACTTACGTTATTTAATAGCTGCGAGAAATTTCGCTTTCCAGTAATATCGAAATTAACTCTGGAACAATCGAGAGCCTTTCTACTTAAAGCTCGTGCAGCGGACAACATTTTCTACAACTTGTTTGAATTTTTCCAAATTTAATTCTTTCAACTTCACGTGCCGAATACAAGAAAAAAGACTGCGGCAATTATCGAACTGATAGATTTTGACACAGGACGATTGGGGGAGCAGTAGTCGACCAATGGATGAGTTTTCTAGAAAATGCGTGAAACGCGGGGAAATTCAAATGTTGTTTTGGAATTTATGAAATAAAACAGTTTTCGAAAAATTAAAACAAAATGTAGAAATTCGATAAATCAAGAGAATAAGCGACAGTTTTATTTATTACTTTATGGCCATTCAGTCGGATCAAATAGTATTTGTGAAAAATAATTTTAAATTACTATGTCGTCTATGTTGATGATAATGTAATATGACATAGCACTCATAGTAGAAGAGTGATGTGAAGACTTGAATCGGGAGGAATTAACCTTTGTACCTGACGTGAAAATTGTGCCTCAGAATAGCTTTCAAAGTGTAAATACGTAATTAAAAATAAAAAGTCAAATACAACTCGTCAGTAATCTTTACACAAAAACTACGTATCTAATCTATAACCTAACTTAATGTCTGATTCAAGAGATATGGGTAACGCAAGTTACTCGGATCGCCTTTGGGCGAAGACCTACAGTGAAATAAAGAATAACCACGATGCAGCATTTTTAGCAATAGATCAAGCTATAACATTAGAGGAACGAGAAAAACCAAACGAGGTGGGTATAATATTTTGGACACTTTTTCACTACAAGATGCTTTCTTTTCCTAGGCTATTGAGAAGTATAAGGAAGGCATTAGACTGATAGACGAAGCTCTTTCCATACAAGTCCAATGTCCAGATAATCCCGATATAACATGGGAGAAAGCCACTGTTATGATTCAAAAGATTAAAAAAACTAGAGCTGAGGTACTCACTCGTATTAGTTCTATTCAGAGATCGTCTACTTTTGTTCCCGAAGTACCTCCTGAAGATCCACCTTCATATGAGGAGGCTGTAGCATCTGTTTCATCAGATGAAGAACGATCGATGACTTACAGAGACCTAGCCACTGCATTACGCGATCTGAGTGTTAGTACCAATCAGAGTATATCTGAAGAGATTATATATACACACGATAACGTTAGGCTTTACTTTATCTCTCCTAATGGGGAAGTTTTGTCCACGCAGCTGCCGGAAACCCTCAAAATATCCCTGGTAGAAGGTAAGATTAAATGTTTTTATTTATGTATGACAAAGTGACTTTATTAAAAATTAGGGGAAGAACCAAACACTCCTAAGGCGATTCTACAGATAGGTGCGTGGGTTTACCCATTAATTCCCGGAGTGTCACCTTGCTATCGTACAGATTACGGCGCTTTCATCCTTCCCAATGTCCATGCAGACATTCCGGGTATGTTTTGTACCGAAATTTACTTTACCAAATTCCTAAATCTTACTTTCTTAGGTTCTTCGGTAGGAATTATCTTACCTTCCGATGCAGATAAAGACGTATTCGACATATTAGAGAATATATTGCACGGAATTATTTCCCAGGCCACTGAAGAAGGCATAGAAGCAGAGAGAAGGCGTAGGGCACAGCACGCCGCACATATAAGTTCTAGAATCTCCAACGGCATAGTAAACGGTATACTTTCTGTGTGATAACGTTTAATACTAAACTAACTGGAATCTTGTACAGGTGCCTGGTATTTATCCCAGGGATTGATAAAGGGAGCGCAAAAGGCTAGCGAATTCTTCGACAGCAGCACTCCCAAGATAATAAATAATATGAAACCGTCTGAACAACCCACGCAGATACCTGAAAAGTTGTCGAAAGGTGTGCAGATAGCCGAGACGGCTACGAATAAAGCTGCGCAAGTGACGGGATTCATTGGTGAGTTCATTAATCGATATTTTTGTATTTTTTTCTTAATATTACGATACTCATACAATACGATTCAATGTACTAGCTCCTTATTTTGAACGTAATTATAAATAAATGGACGGGCGAAAAATTGTGGAACAAATTGAGGTCGTAGCATGCATTGTTGTCAAATTCTATGTTCTTGATTCATAAACGTTTTTTCATAACGTCACAGAAATTTAACGATGAAGATAAACACTTAAGTTTCCGACACATTTTAGCGGAGAAAGTGGGCACCGCCACGATGCGTCTGGGTCAGTTCTTGGCCCCGCACATCCAAAAGCAAGGGACGAAACTGCTGACAACTGGTTTTAAAATGTCCGAACAGGAGGCTTCCGATAAAATGGAAGGTATTTTAACGGTAGCCGCTGGGGCGGTGGAGGGTTTTTCTACGGTGTACCGAGGCCTCCATACCTCCGCTGGAATTCTGGCCAGTAATCTCAAAAACAACACCGTTAAAATCGTCGAACACAAGTAAGTAATAAACGAATTGTAAACGTTTTGTTCGAATTTGAACAATCGATCGATGAATTTGGTCAGTCTAGGGACTTTCTTGGTAAAGTAGGCTTGGTTCTGTCTCGTTTGACCTTAAAGTAGTCTGGCGCTAAATAAAAATCAGCAAACGACAGCAACGAACCACCCAAAGTGGAACTGCTGTCAAAAAATTATGTTGTTTTTATGTCAACTAGAACCGATACTAAATAAAGTTCACTGATTGGCTAAAATATCTTTGACAGTCGAAAGAATATTTGAATTAAATGGGAATCGGTTTTGAACATGACATTACCGTGGGTAATTCTGGGTGAAAATTAAAGAAAATATATATTTTAGATATGGGGTCCCAGCTGCTACATTAACAGGGACCTCTTTGTCGACGATAGGCAACGTCTACACAATAAGCCACGACGCCAAGATGTTAAAACCTAAACATTTGGCTTTCCATACCGCTAAAGACACCACCACCGCTTTGACGTACGCTTATAGCAGCTCCAGTAGAGGGAACGCCGCTTACCAGAACTTGCCTGGTCCGTCTGGTAGTAGCGAAAAACCCGACGGTTGTAATTCTCACAACGATGATGGGGACAGAAAGAAGGGTTTGAAATAATTTAAGTTGGTGTTTGTTTATTATAATTTTCTTTCATATCAAATGAAATACTCTCTATTTAAAGTGGAGGAGGATATATCGGAAATAAGACGTGATGGTTGTAGTAGGTGTTATTGTTAATCGTTTATCTTGTATATCTACGTTTGGTGTACAGCAACATTTCCTATATTATTTTTTACTGTGATATAAATTTTTTATAATATATTTAATAAATTTGTTACACAGGGTTTTTGACAGTGTCATTTTTCTGTCTTAGAAATTTAAAACGTTTTTTGGCAACAGGTCTAAAATCTTATTTGCAGGATATATTCCACTTAGAGCCTTGTCATATCACATCAGGTGGGTCGACATTATGTAACACACCTAAACAAGGTTAATGTCAGAGGTCAATGACCCTGAGATTCACAGACTAAACACAGTGCTTTACGAAAATAGTAACAAATTGTTGTTTTCCACTGCAGTTTCTTTCTGGCACTGCATTAGTTTCAGTTGTTTTAAAAGTAACAACAGGCAACATTGAGAAGAACAAAAGTTTAAGGGCAGAATATACTTTTATTTAGCGTAAAAATGCAATTAGTTTATTAAAAAATGGGAATGTGGCTTTCAGGTTAAAGGAAAACAACCAAATTATATGTAAAAATTGTAATTAAAATAGGACAACCAATTTTTCTACCAAAAACTGTTTTCGGCTATTTTTTGTTCCATCCACTCGTAGTGGCTGCTGACTTTCGTGTACAATGAACTGACTTGTACGTCGCAAGCGTCCATCGTACTGCGGCCTATGCTTACAACTCCGTGCACGAAATAGCGCTTGTCGTGCTGAAACACCAAACCCCCCCCACTGTCGCCCCTGCACACAGCTATACCTGTAACAAAGATAGCGTGATCGATATATCTTGGGAAATGAGTATTCTGACGACTGAAGGTAATTAAAGTCAGAGAAAGCTGAAGTTATTTTTGTACAATTGAACCTTTGAGAAAAAAAATTTCAAAATTCTGACCTGGATATTTCACACAACACTTTACAACAATTGTCTTACTCTTATTATAATGTCCAGCGCACATCTTGTCGTCTGTGAAATATTTATCCGACCAATCCGGAGGTAATTCTTTGTAACATTCTGAATCTGGCTTGTATGGGACATCGATTTCTTTAAGTTCATCGGATGGCTCACCGGATGCTATAGTGTATCCCCATCCCGTTATCTGGAATGTAAATTTGATAATGTATCTATTAAAAATATTTTCGTCATCAGTTATATTCGTGATTACACTGTACCTTCACTTACCACTCCATGAAGTGTTGGGTCGAGATGGAGGTTTCGGAGATTTTGGTAACATACCGGTTGGACAACCTTGGATAACAACAAAACCTCTTTCGTTACTAATATCGCTATGTCCAAAGCATAGCGTTGACTGTCGCCCCTGTATTTGTCAGGAATTTCTATTTTATCCACCTGAAAGATGCTTCTAAGGTTAAATAATTAAAAACGGTAGGGATGTCGTGATACCTTTGAATACTGGGCCTGAGTATCTCTAGGATCCTTATACTTGTTGTAATATTTCCCCACGCCTACCAGTATTTCTTCGTTTGGCAATTTTTGTGCTTTTTGGTTTGTGACGCAATGCGCAGCTGAAAAATTAACAAAATTTTAAACTGAAAAAATTTCTGATAATGGGTTCAAATATCTGTCATTTTCATTTCTTTTTGACGAGGTGTGTTACTCTACCGACTGTACCTCATTGAACATTAAACTTTGACGTTTGTCTCAAAGATGGCGCCTCTGCTGTTAATGTCATGTTGAGTTGAATATTCCAGATCCAGTTTGTAAAACGAAAAGATTAATACAAAGTTTTTTAAGTCACAACTTTTTAAATGTCCTGGTTTATTTTCGTATTTTATAACCACATGTATTCAATAATAGAATAATAGAAATAATAGAGTAAAAAAAAATAAAATAACGTATACATCAAGTGGTCATCTGGGTTTTTTGTTATTATACCTAGGTATTGCTGCTTTTTATGTTCTTATTAGAACAGGGGGTTGCGTTTTCGGTAGATAGTGAAAATAATTTAAAACGTGCTGTGGTGTTCTTAAGTTAGTAAGTTTACGAAACTATGCAGTGAATTTTGAAATTAGAAATATATTAAATTGTTGACTATAATAGTGTTCCATAACAAGTGAGTCTCAACCCTCCATTTTCCCATTTTTAACCCGCTTATTATCCTTTGATGAACCGATTCAAAGAACGTGATAGACGAATCTTGGTAAGTCCAGCATTTCATTATTTTTTTGTGCGTGATAATACAGCAACCCATATGAGTAACTAAATATTTAGTCATATGGCTCAACCTTGTTAGGAATAGAATTCGGGACTCAAAAAAAAAAAAAAATATTTTGATACAGCAATTGACGATACTTAAATTTTTGCAATTAAATTTGCTGAAGAAGCGCAACCCTATGGAAAAATTTTAAATAAATCAGACAAAAACTAAAAAAAAAATAGTGCAAACTTAAAGAAACACTACAGATCAGATAGCATAATAATAATTTTGCCTATGCCCATATTATACTAATATTTGAGGTTATAGTTTCGCTGATACATACCTGTAAGAATAATTTTCTGTGTCAGCATTGACCCACCGCATGAATTTATGTAGGAACCACCCACTTTTTGGAATACTGCTGTCACCCACGGATAGTCCCCTTTCTCCACAGTTTGCCCATTTACAATCAGAGGTTGAGCAGAAACCTTTTTCTCTCCACATACTGAAAGTATAGAATTTGCTTCATAAATGTATTTGGTGTAAGCTGCACACAAATGTCTATAAATACGAGTATATTCACATATTAGTAACATAGTTTTAGCAAACACTGTATAATTAACATGTCTATCGGTTATTTCACATATGCAGGGTTGCAAAGTGTGCGGGTTATTTGGATATTTTAGAGATAAAAAGAAATTTAAATTCATTCAGAATTGTGCGAGAAAAAGAATTTTTGTTAGATGGTGTGAACTTATCATTTTAGGCGTCTCTAAAAAGCAGTAGATGTGCAGGGCAGGGCGACTGCTTATATATTAATCGTTTCGTTACCTCGGTAACTGGTTTGATTTGATAGTTTTCTATCTCTAGTAGTAAGAGAGATATAGTTAAAAAAAGTGTCATAAGAATATGTTGAAACAGACTTGTTGGCTACAGTGATAGGTATATTGTGGAAAACAACTACTTTACGAGCATCATGCCCCTTGTAGATGTCTTTTAATATCTCATAATTCTTCTAATAAGCACGTTGTGAAAACATTGACTCAGAACTAGACATGTGCATCATTACAAGTAGACATGAACTAAGGCGCTCGGGCATCAATAAAGTCAACTGGCGAACGTTCGTTATATATATTTTTATTGTTTAAATTAAAATAATAAATAATAGGGCATTTTATTATGATATTTGTAATCGGATCAAAGGCTTGTTTACGCTAGAGCTCGAGAGAGACTGTGAATAATAGGTGTAATGTTCTTAGGACGTAGAATAATTTAGGCGACGGTCGGAATTATGTTTCTGCGCATATGAACGTCAAAGCTCATAAGATTTTAAAACATCTCTACCAATGGCCATTGAATAGTCATAACATTTCAGATATGACATAGGTACCTTGTAGAGGTTAGATCTCACCCATACTTAAAGACTTGTTACCTGTCTACTAGTAACTTGTGCTACATTTCTCTTACTATCAGAAATAGGTCCTTATCCATAGAAAGTGACCTGATATGCGACAAACAGCTATATACAAGGCAAATTTACCGAAGCAAATGTACTAAAATATATTTTTGAATGTTTTGATTCACCTTCTGGTTTATTATGCCACGTTCTTCGGAGGTTAGGCAGGGGAAAATCGTTTCAAGCTCAAGCCATGTGGAAGGTTCTCATGAAAAAATGCACTTTCCTGTCAGATAAACTAAACCTAGCTAGAATATTAGCATTAATCCCAATTAAGTAAACATCGAAATATAAAAACATAACAGTAAGTACAGTTTTCTTTAAATAAAACAAATGGCAATTAATGTTAAAGACATGATTAATACTTTTTCAATTAATGATGATGAGTTAGCAAAAATGGTTGTCCATTCCGGTAGCACAACTTTTTCCAATGACCATGAATGAGGCTTAGAGTATCTAACATTCGGAATTCTTGACGCCATCTTGAGAAAATTATTACATAACCTCAATTACCTTAACCTTGGAATTCCGACTGTTCGGTACCTGCGAGTTCTGTGACGGTGCATGAAACTTATATACACTCAAATGTCGAGACATTAGTTTCTGGTTTAACCAATTTTGATGAGGGAAACGTAAAAGCTGTTTTGATCGACTAGACTAGTGATTGTACAATGTTTCAACTACAAACACAAAGCTATCGACTGATTCCAAATTGACACGTAGAAAAACTAATCCAAATCCAAAATCAACATTGTGATGTAGGTATTCTTAAAGACTAATGGTAGGTAACAATAACTAGCAACTATACTATAACTACGGCGATTTATTGAGAAATACAAATGTAATTTATGAAGATGCTGATGTGTCTGTCGCTCTACGTAAATGTAGGTACTTTCTTTCACCTTCACTATTTACATTTTTGCACCAAATTATGTCTGGAAGTAAATGGTCACTGCATTGATTTGTGACTATAAAATACATTTGCCTGCACCTGGTGCAGGTGAAAGAAAAGCAGGTTAAAATTTTGCAAAGGAGTTGCTCCTAACTCAAGTTGATAAGACAAGAAAATTGATAATTACATATATTAAACTATAACCTTGTTACAAACATGGAAAGACAACTTAAATAATCAATTATTTTTCGTGGTTCCCTTTTTGATGCGAGTGTTAATTTAACGATTTAAAATCAATGAATATATCTTAATGAGGTTAATTTTTAACATGTTCACAGGCGTTTAATAATATATTAGTCACTAGGAAACGTGATAATTCCATTAAAGTTCTTTGGGTGTTCCCCAGATGCTCCTTCGGGATCCCCTCCGACGTTAATAGTAAAATTAGCGGGAAAAACGATATTTATCCGCTGTTTCTTACGCACTTTCTTCCCGTTAACGTTAACAGTAATATAAAAATTATAAGTGATTGGCTGACCTGGTTGGCACACGGGCTCCGGGTAATTCCATGTGCCCCCGTAACAGAATCTTTTGACGGGGTTCCTATCGGAGGGTTCGTAGTAGGGGGCGCACTGGAAAGTGGCCGAGGTGCCATCTGTCGCCTCGTCGCACTTGATTTCTATTCTCCTGGTGTCGAAGCACCTGATGGTGGTAAACTTGGTGGTGTAGAGGGCCCTGCATTTCTCTGGAAGAAAAATATGTTTTTTTTTGTTAATTTCTTTCCTTTTCTGGTATCCTCAATAAGAAAAACTAATAAACTTTTAACTTACTCAAACACGTTGGTGGTGGAGCGTTCCACTGGTTCCCAACGCATATAATATACGAAGACTCCGAGGACAGCTTGTAACCGTCGTTGCAACCAAACTGCAAAGCCGTGGAGGATGCCACCGTCTCGGAGGGATTCTTTACTATGTTACTCGCCAGGAGGCTCCACTGGCCGAAATCTGGGTGTTCGGGCAGGACGCAACCCCTGATAAAATAAAATAAACGAGGGATATTCCAAGGAGGATCCTTACTTACCCGGTTCCTGTTGACGGAATGTCTGGAATAGTCGTAGGGATCGGGGTGGGTACCACGGGCGTTTCGTCGCAGTTCTCCTCGTCGGAGTTATCCACGCAATCCTTGACGTTGTTGCATTTGGCGAAGCCGTCGACGCAGGCGCCGTAGTCACACTTGAAGGTAAACCCGGGACACTGCATGTTGAGACAGGTCTCCTTCGTTTCGTCGGACCTGTCCTCGCAGTCCGGCTTGCCGTTGCATTTGGCGTCTTGAGAGATGCACTGGCCAGACTTGCATTCGAACTGGTCGGACCTTGAACAAGCAGGGTTGGAAGAGCGGTTTGGTATAAAGCCACACGTTTCACGCGTCACCTCCTAGTGACGTCACTATCAGTGGTATGGTGTAAAAGTTCGCGTTTTTAGCTTCTCAAGAGATAAAGCTCAACGCAAGATATTTCACACGCTCGTTATCGGGCAAACAAAAACAAAAAGTAACGAATCTTACGTGACGTAAAATACAAATACAGTATTGAAATGAAAAATTAAATTTCACGCTTTTTTAAGCGCTACCAAGCAGGTAGACGTTACAACCAACCAGTCGGCAAGAATACCCTTTCTATGATTCCTAATTAGATAGCACAGTTTTTGAAACTAGAACATCCTGAAACATATACAGGCCATTCATTCCGAAGAACATCGGCAACGTTACTGGCTAATATAGGAGCAATATCGTTACGATATATCTGTCACCACCGAGGTGACGTCTAAGCGGTAACATGGCGGTAACCGAAGAATTCGGTTTGATATTTGGCTTTACTGGTCACATGGACTTACTTGCAGTTAGAGGACACCTTCTCGACGTTGTTGGAGAGCACGCAGTTTGCCTCGTCCGAATTATCCCTGCAATCCTTCTTGCCGTCGCATTTCTTGTCCGCATCGACGCAAGCTCCGTAATCGCAGGTGAAAACGTAGCCAGGGCACCTGAAAAAGATGTCACAGACGTACACATATAGTCAGTTTCCCCGCTAATTGACTGAAACGGGACTGTGAACGGGGCTTGTTTCTGAGATGATGTTAGCGAGAAAAACGAGATATAAATGGAACTTACTGGACATCCTCTTTGCAATCGTTGAATTCGTCGCTTCCGTCCTTACAGTCGACTTTTCCATCACACCTCTTGTCGTCCGGCAAACATTCCCCTGTAGTTGTACACTTGAAACTGCAAATTGATGGTGTTGGTTAAAATAACAGTGTTGTTATTTACTTACCCTTCACCGATTATCCTTCTAACTTGATTGAATATTCTTTTAGATACGCATTATACAACATACCGACAGAATGTGACAATTTACTTCTTAAAACAAACAGTCAAAATATGAAATGTAAAATGTTTAAGCATGTTTGTTTATTAGCAGATTATTATGGTAAATTACTTTTTATATATCCATAGAACGTTAATTGTAATTATTACCTGGAGAAACCAGTTGTGGATGCCACTAATCTTATAATATTAAAACAATCTCTGGTAAGCAGAAATTTCGGCTACTAAGGTAAATAACTAGTCTGTGTTTAATAATAGAAGATGACCTTTAGAAATATGGTTGTATTTTCCCACTAACAAATCCTCCTTTATATTGTATTTTTAATTAAAAAGTAGATAAGAGTATAAAAAGGCTTGTGGTTAAACCAAACCAAATTTTATGCAAATATGCATACAAAAAAAATAATTTTATTTCCCAAAGTTAGTATATGTGCATCAAATTTTAGACTACATCCTAATACTAAAGTTGTCTTAAATTATTTAACAGTTAGATAGTTGTTTAGTTTCTCAAAAATACTGAATGTTACTGTATTTTAAACTTTTATCATCTGTAAACAAAATAATATTTATCGAACTTAAGAAGTCTTACGCTGACGGCCTATTAGAATATTTCAGAGATACTTCGATTTTGAACACCCTGTATTTTTAATCAAAATCTGTTGTAGAATTTTACTCACTATCTAACCATATTATACTTCCCTATACCTGCTTCTCTTAATTTTTCCGTTATTGACGGTTTTTGTGATAAACTTAAATACAAAAGAACCAGTCATAAGTCATAATTTGCTGTTAGCCTGTCAGTGGTAGTTAAATATTGATTTGTAAATAATGGAGAAACCCGTATTCAAATGCTGACATTTAAAATTTATTATTTATTCGTGTTATGGGATTTTAAATAGACCATGCAGAATTTTTAATGTTACAGTTAGGTACTTACTAATAATAAGCAGAAACACATTAAGAAATCAATAAAATCATTATTAATAAGTAAAAAAAATAACACCATGAAAATAATAAGTTAAATAATTATCAAAATACTGATTGTTTTGTTTGCTAGGAATTTCACAGCCATCCTCGCAAGAAATTGGACCATTTTAGGTCACAAAAACTGTCAATAACAGAAAAATTAAGTGAGATAGGTATAGGGAAGTGTAATATGATAGATAGAGGGTACAATTCTACAACAGTTTTTTATTAAATATACGGGGTGTTCCATTTAGAAATACCATTCGAAAATAAATTTTCTCCACCCTCTGTGTGGAATTAAACAGTTTCTAAATTAATTGTAACAAAGGCCAAGCATCCCCCATCTCTCTATAATTAGGCTATCGAAAAGCACCTTTTTTTGAAAAACCATTAGAGATAGATATAGGGAAAAGTCTCCCTAAAATTACAGTATAACTTTTTTGATAGGTATCCATTATTCTGCATTTATCAAAATCATCTTCCAATAACTTTTGTTTTAATTTTCTAGTAATATTTTTATGTTTTCTGGAAGAATTGAAATATTATCTTTTTATTTTCGGATATCCTCGATGATTTTAAAGAAACCTGTTAAACAAAAACCTAACATACTGAAACATCTTGTATATATTTTGAGTTAATTACGTTTTTGCTTTATCTTATCTTTTCCAACTGGTTTTCCACGATGATTTCAATATTTTCAGAAATGTCATGTCTATTTCCCCAACAGCATACGTTAAAAAGCAATTTATTTTGTAGAACTATTTTTGTTTATAGTTAACTGCCTTTGATTTTCAAATTAATACTAAAATCCAGCAATGGCCTCGAAAATCACCAACAAGTAAAACAAATCGTCTCACCCTTCACATTTTCCCGCCTGTCTCGGTGTCCTGATCAACTGTATGGACTCGTTACGAACCGCAGAAAACCCAACGGTGATTCCAAAGAATCCGGAAACACCTAAAACGTGTCATTACATTAACACCTAAACGGGAACATGTCCGATCTCACTGCAGGAAACTTACTTAAAATCACGTAAAAATTCAACAGAAACCTTGACAGCAAAACATTCCTCATCGTACTAGAGTCACACTTCACTACACTGACGACAAAAACTGCCTGCGTTTTTAGAAAATATTCGGATATTGCCAAGACCGTCGGTCGTGGCGCATATCGAGATGTCTTGTTTTTGTTATCTCGAGAGAAGAGGTCTCGACTCTCAACCTCGTCGGAACACTTCTTGATAAGTGTGTTAAGTGTTGGATTGTAACCACTTGCGCGCTGTTGGGGATTTCCTAGTTAATTTTCCCGTGAATTTGTTTATTATTACAGCTGCTAGTTGGCGAAAGGTTGCTGTTATATTCAGCTGTTACAATGTCACATAACATAGTGTAGAGTGGACAGTAAATGATACCCCGAAAAACAGGCCCGGTCTGGCTCTTTCAGGGGCCGTCGGTAAAAATCGGGGCCTATTTGGTTTTGTCTGTTATTAGGGTGCATATCGACTCTCCCAGCAAAAACTGTCGTATCTCAAATTTGGTTATATTTTGTTTAAATTACGATTATTATAATCATCATTTTTGCTGTTCTCTTCTCGGGATCTGTATTCTTATAGGCACTACACACGGAATCTTTTTTTGGCTTAAAGAAATAAGCTATATTAAATTTCGAATTCTCTTTCCTTCAGACCCACGGTTTATAGATAAAGGAGTTATTAGTTTAAAGGGCTTACGATTTGGAATATATGTTTATTTCTCTCTTTCTTTTCTGTAGGTACACTGTTTATAGGGGTATAGGGCAAAATAATAATAAAAAAAATTCATTTTCTCATTCTTCTCTTTTATTTTCAATTTACGGTGGTTATATCTCAAGAATTTACACAAAATTTTCCAAATCTTCCAAAATAAGTCGGGTTTTGCCGACTTCTCGACCTGGCCAGACCGGGCCTGCCGAAAAGTTTTTTTTTTAATTTTTAAATTCTACGTTGTGTTGATGAGAAGTACATGATGAGAACCAATTGATTTAATTCAACTAATAGTAGACGACCTCTAAAAATGTTTGTGTTTCGTAAATCTAACGAACTTTTGTTTATTTTATTTTTCAAAACAAATTTAATATGAATGCGTCTAATGGGTAATATAATAAATAACAGGTAACAGTTTGTATATACCTAGGGTGTTGCGAGAAAGTATGTCACGCCAATTCTTTGCGAGAAAATAACGGGAGAAAAATAGGAAAGAAATCTTTTTACAAGATGCAGGAGCATAAAACATTATTTTTATTAATAACTTCCCTTAGTACTCTCATACCCGTACACTTTTTTATAAAGTAAATATTAAAAGTTTATGATTATTAGTATAGGGAATGTTGGAAAATGTACAGTTCTCACTTACTCAAACCACATATTTTGCGCTGTTGACAAATAAAGAAAAAAGACTAATTGCAAAGCTAATTTGGTTCTCAGATATCGATAGAAATTTTGACTCGACAAAGAGAAGCCCAAATGAACAATGACCCAAAGAGACTATCATTATTTTCTCTCGGAGAATCTGTTGTTAACCGCTTGACCTACTTTTTTTACAGCAACCTGTATAACAGTCAAAGTAATTACTGAATTCGCTGAGTGACATACAAATCCTGAATAACGTTAATTAACTACATTTAATTAGAAAGAGCCATAACTTATGCTTAGATAGTAATAGCATAGTCTCGATTGAAGACTAAAGAGCTAGGCAGTATGTACCAGGTTCGGTCGCTGACGCAGCAACTCGGCATTGAAATATTTGAAAAACGTGGAGGTGATCGAAATGTATTCGCCCAGTTGGAGAATGCGCGCGCGGGCAAACGGCGCACAAACACATCCGCACTGGGCGACTGGGCCATAAATCTCAGTTGTTGACCAATTGCCTAGCAGTGCAGTGCAGCAATGCGGAATTTGGTGGGATTCGGGTAATTTTAATTTATTATAGGCACCTTCTATTAATCAATCATATTACAACTGCGAAAGGGAAATAAGAGGGATATTTTGTTTACTACTATTATTTCCAACATGGCATTTTGGAGATCTTTTCAAAAAAATTGAAAAATAAAGATTTCAATGTCAGGGTCTCATTTTAAATATTTACGATTGTTTAAAAAAGGATAATTTAAGGAAAGTAACTTTCACTGCTAATATGCCGAAAACAGCTGAAAATATAAAAAAACGATAAATAGAAAAAAGTTTCATACAGCTCTTTCCAAATGTCTAATGAATATATAACATTAATTTTTCCATGCCTCAGGTTTTTCTTTTCAGGAAAAACCCATTTCCCAAGATACAACGATCACTTTTTTGGAATAATTATTTCCGGGGCCGCCATATTTATTCATTTTGCAAACAATATCACCGCAACGAGCGACAATATATTGAAAACAAATGGGAATTATTATTACTCATTATTTATTTACAATTAATATTAATATTCTGGCAATTATTAGTAATAGACATCCTGTGAATTCTGCGTAGAGCAGATAATAAAAAAATTCGATCAATAGAAATTTTGCTTTATTGATATGGTTTACAATTATAATAACCACCAAAATGGCCATTGTATATATTTATAGTAATAGTAATAAATATAATAATATACACATTTCATAATTTTATTAGCTAGATTGTAGATTTTTCACAATATCAGTAACGAAAATAAATGCTGAAATTTACGAATGAATTTTTTAAAATGTTTTACTGAAGTCCGCTGAACGCAGAACAAAATATCTCTCCAAAATTTTTTAGGGCGTACCATTTGAAAGACTTTATAACGTAAAAAAATTCGCTTTCTGCTTATACTTATTAAACCACGCCACTTGCTGCGATCCGACTGATAATCAATGTCATCTAACTAGGCTACCATGTAGAAACAAAATCATACGAATCATCTTATTGGGCCACATGTAACTATAGTAGGATCGTATTCGATGCAAAGTAGATCAAAAAATTATCGGTCTTTTATCTAAATAAAATCGTGTCATCATTTTTAGGAAACGTAAGATGAACCATTACAAATTTAAAATGAAATTGAATATAAAATCTGAAATACCGCTTCATATGCACTTGGTCGTAAATTAAAGACCGCCTCCAAAAAACAAGTAAAAAACAAATTGGATTTATAATAAATTACATTTAAAATACATAAATAGTTTATGAGAATAATACATAAAAATATTATTAAATTTTCTAAACCCCTTAAAACCGCACTGCACTGGATCCTTTGACAGGCAACGACTTATTACTTTGCATCGAATATGATCCTACTATAATTTAACTGTAGAAGGTTTAATTGAACCAAATGAACAGCGCTTTAACTGTACCGTGGGTTAAAAAAAAACTGACCCCTCCCCCAAGGCTGGTTGGTTAATCCGAAAGGGGCGGTTTTGGACATCAAACGTGAGGTTACGTTATCACATTCATCACTATTATAAGTATAGTGTAGCTAAGTAAAAAAATTATATCAATATTTTCCTTTGCGAAAAATCTACCTTAAAGATTTGCTCTTATATAACATACAATAGTACAAAGAGCCATAAAAATTTTCGACCAACAAAACATCTTCAAATTATTTCACATATTCTTTATATGTATAAAGCTATCCTATTTCTTTGAAATTCAATAGCAACGAAGTGAATTCTGGTTTCATTAGTCAAAGTTAGTGCTTAGGACAGTCGTATTGCTCTTTCCCAAAACGCGTAGCTTGTTTCATCTTACTACTGAAATATTATGGTCCTGCAATATTTTAGAATTTTAAATATTTATTTCGTTTCTTGACAGTGCTACTACTGATTTGCCCTATGAGGACAATTAATCTAAATCAGAGTAACTCAGGCCTGTCGATGTCGTTATAGGATTAAAAAAGTAGACCTTCAGATTGTTTTTTAAAATGTTTGTACATATTATGTAGCCACACAAAAAAAGTCCAAACCCAAGAAAGATAATTTCTGAAAGAATTAGAAATAGTAAATTTTATGAGAATATTTTCTTCGAAATTTGTCGTGATGTCATGAATTTTGACTATAGAATCAAGTAAACATATCCTATTTTTTTTTTTTTTTGAAAATATAAGTATTCAATATTAACCTCCATCAAGCGCATCGCTGTAAAATGTTAATTGCGTCCTCAAAATTTTTTTTAAATAAAAAAATTATCTCGGCTCCAGAAGGTCGTAGAAAAAATTTTTTTTTTAAATTCGTGAAAAAATTTCAGCAGTTTCTTTCTTTAAAAGTCATTTTCATAAAATAAAAATTGGAATAGTTATTTGAAAAAAACATACCCAAAAAAAGTGCACCTTTTTCAATCATTTTTTATCCTTAAAATTAATAAAATCGTCAAAATTTTTTAACAGCATGATAATATAACTCTTTATGAAGAAAATAAACCGAAAATCGTTACTATATGACTATCCGCTGAGAAGATCTAGCCAATTTTCGAGAGCGCCTTTTTTTCAAAAAATTGATATATCTAAAAATAATTAATTATTTAAATTTTTCAAAAATGTACTTTTTTGGCTTGCCGCGGGCTATGCTTGCAGTAAATAGCAAATATGGGCACGTAAATGTAAACCAGTTATAGAAGAAGTGAAAAGAGAAGATTTTTAACGGTTTTTTCGATATATCTCGAAAAGTAACAAAGCAATCAATACTTTCAAAAAATCAGTAGATAGATCTTTTTAAAACCTACAACTTTCTCATTTAAAATTTTTCAATCGGTTCCACATTTTTTTAGTTATTTTAGAAAAACCGTTTTTTGCAATTTTGCGATTTTTTTTCGCCGATCGAGTTTAAAGAACAAGAAACTTATTTTAAAATTAAATTTTCTACATGGTCATATTTTTTTTGTCCAGGTAATAATTTCTGTAAGCATTTCTTTGTAATGCTTGGACTACTTGGGTTTGAAATTTTTTTTTGTGTGGTTTTGTTATCGATGTATTGGAATTAGTGACTCTTAATAATTTTGCTTTCATATCTCCAACTTATGGGCTAATTCTCGTAGTTAGAATGAGGAGCAGAGATATTATTATTATTATTTCGTTTATTTGGTTTCACCATGAAATTAAAGTATTCCCGGCATATAAAAGTTTATTTGTAGCATCTAAATTATTTTGACTTGACAAACAGGCTGCATCTCAGAAAATTAAGAGTAAAAAAAATATACTCGAGTGCTGCCCCATGCATTAAGCATAGTTTTAAGATGGTAATTGATATTTTAGTACTCCGACTATTGCAATAAATTGCAAATAATATTTCAATTATAAATGTGAGTTAATTTCTCCTTAGGAATTCTGTAGACGAGTGAAAAAGTCACGATTCTTTTGAAATGTCACATATTACATTAGCGCAAATTACCTTTTGTCTTCACACCAACCCAAGTTAGAGTTCAACTGTAGTAGTTTTATCTTGATTTATAAATGAAATGATTTATAAAATTAATCTTTTAAAATTTTTCACCACGTCGTGCGAAAGCAAAGTACGGCCCTGGAATGTACGATTTCCTGGCGGACCTTAGAACAAAACATTGCTCTCCGTCTGTAACAGTTTGATATTTCACTAGTAAGAGAAACAAGCTCCCCCGTCCGTTCCTACCCCCTCCCACCCCCTCTACTGTATGCCCTCCACGAAGGCCGTGTCATCGAGGGTGTGCAGCCAGTTGAAGATCATCATGTTCCTCTCGTACTTCGACAGGGGCTTGCCCCTCTCCCTCTCCACGTCCCTGATGGTGAGCGGCAGGTTCTTGCCGGCTCTCTGTTTGGCCACCCTCAGCACGGCGGCGTTGGTGCTGTTCGCGACGGCGACCGGGCTTTTGCTGGGCGTGGGGCTCGAGCCGGGTACCACCAGTCTGGACGGGGCCGCGTTGGGGGCGGCTTGGGTCGGCTCCGTGCCGATGCTCGCCGTCGCCGTGGAGGGAGTCACTTCCAGTCTGTCCAGGTTGAACTCGCTCTGGGAGAGCCGTTCCAGGGCCTTGTAGGTGGTCATCAGTCTCCTTCGGATGTAGTTCTGACGCACCTACGGAAAAAAAAAACGAGCGAAATAATTGCAGTGCAAAGTGGAAGGTTACGTTTGGGTTATTTTTGCGACCTTGGGTCGCGGCGTGATGTCATGATTGAATTCCGTGAATTTACGTAATCGACAAACAAGTATGCATGTACGGGGTGATTAGAGGAGCACAAAAAGTGTTAGAATTTTGTTTTTACAAGATGTATGTGAATGGGAATCATATTTATACTTTGGTTACCTTTGACATTTAGAAACGCGTTGTTTTTTCAAATTATGTCGTGAAAATTGATTTTTTTAACCCACTTTTCATAATTTTCATACCCCGCCGCTGAACAGGTTAGTTATATTTAGACCAGGGCGGATCTGTTTTGAGGTGGATGTAAGAGGGGGCAAGCAAATTTTTTTATAATTACGTTGTTAGAGCACTAACCATATAGTTTTAAAAACGTAAACTTAAAAAATTTTCTTTGCAACAATCAATTTGTCCAACAGAATTCTGGTAAAGAGGATAACAAGTAAACGAATCGTATTCTAGCTTGTTTCTGGTAAATGATATGTACATAAAATGTCTTTATACTATTAGCATTAGTAAAACCATTCAAGTTTATAATAGTCCGGTCAAAATAAACATTTCAAATAACGAAAATTCCGACAGAGCTAAATTTTGGTGGAAACCTTGGGTACACCATTAGAAATAAAGTGTCGAACGTCCCCATCGATCCCATGTGTGCTAAAAAAGTTATTCGGGGCCAAAGGTCAAAATTTTCGTTATTTGACCACTATTTTTTATTACTAATTTGACAGGATTATAAAGGAAAAAAACCTTAAAATGTATTAGCTGAAGTTATCATGTCCCTTATATGTCTGTTGAAAGTCAGTCAATCGAAGTAGCACACTTTCTTTCTCTTTGATCTCAGAACAGAACAGCGTGGAAGTATTGAGGTCGTTAATAAAACATAACAGTAAAAGTAGGCCAAGATTTGAACCCTGAGGAACATCAGAAACAGAAATATAATTATTAGATATATAAACCCCATATTCTACAAATTCTGCCTTTCTAAAAAGTTTGATTCAAGTAATGCTATTAAAGACGCCAATTAATCTAAGTTTAGAAATTAAAAAAGTAGTAACGTCTATTTGACCTGAACAGAAGCTTCTGATAGATACTGGCCAAGTTAGTGATAGTTGGCGGTTTCTCCATAAATATGAGAGGTTATATTATAAAAGTATATATAGAGGAACCATCGATTTTTTTTAATGACATCAATCGAGACCTTCAGCCTTCCTAAATCTAAATACTTATCTATTGACTGAATCTAATTATAAACCAATTACGAATTAATAGACAACGTATTTCCATCCAATAATAATACCTTAGACCCTCAAAATATGCAGTCAATACACCTAGAATTTTAATAATACACCTATCTTTCATTTCTATGACCAAATGTTTTTTATTTCATAATAAATATGAAATATATAACTTCCAATAAATATACGAGCTTCCTAGCTTTTGGTAAGCAACACTGCGGAGCTGGTACCGGTAACGAAAAATTCCTAAATCGTACCATCACCACTATTCGTTTACAATAAACAGTGACAAACCGATGCAATTACGCTCGAGGTGAATGTAATCACTCATCATATTGAGCTAAAATTTTTAGGGGTGGGCCATATAATTTAAAATTTTTGACGTAACACCAAATCGATCCTTACCTTTTTGTTAACTGATCTTATAAAATCGGCCGCGGTGAAAGCGGGGGGAGGGGGTGTGCTGGCCGGTTGCTGCGTGTTGGTGGTCGAGGTGGATTGGCCGCCGTGGGGTGAAGGCAGTTGTGACGTAGAAGCGATGTCGCCAACGGCTACCCAGGTGGAGCATGATCTGAAACGAACATTCCTAAAGTAAGTCTGTCAATTTTTTTGACAGTACCGGTGTATTTTTTATATAATTTTTTCTTTCCAAAAATGGGGATGTCCCGATAGTGTAAAAATTTCTTTTATACAACATACAGGTAATCAAAATTCGAGGATAATTGCTTCTGATCTTGAATTTGATTTTAAAATTGCCGCCACTTTCATACCGACCAATAGAACAACTTTGTTTTTATATCCCACTTCTTTGTGGTGCTGTGTTATTGTAAACGCTTATTAAGAAACTATTCTACTTCGATAATAATACAAAAAAAAAATAGAAGCACCAAATATTAAATAAAAGCAACTTTTGAAGTGACTGCTCAATCAGAACTTTTTAAAATATTTACCGGAGATCCAAATATTCTGAAAAAAATCTGTAGGCTTAGTTTTTCCTATACCATCGATTAAGTGAATAAAAAAATATATGGGGCATGCCCATTGTGGGTTTTTACCCTGTAGCTAGGTTTCGATACCATTTCCGAATTAGCTTCGAATTTTCTCACCTTGACGTTTGATCGAGTCTAGCGTTCTCTAGTAGGAATCCAGACCTTTGTAGGGAATTAAGCGCCAGCTCCGAAACGGCGTTTCGAAGGCCCGGCACGCTAGGCCCGTCCTCAGGCGACGGTAATTGACTGATATCGCTTGTACTGAAACTCTTCTGTAGACCCACAGCGGAAGATAAGGCCGCACAACTCCTTATCAATTCAGTCTCTTCCTCGAACCACAGTATTTCAGGAATATCGGCTGGCCTAAAAAAAAGTTGCGTATATAAAATTTAATGGTATGAAATTGAAAGAAAGCGCTTTATTATCAGCCGTCGAATTTATTTAGCTATAAAATTAAATTAAAATAACAAACGTGTTGGAAACAAAAGAAAGATACAGCGGACAATCTTTAGTTTATAGCACGAACTGGTTTCAGCCGAACAGCAAAAAAAATACCGTTAAAGAGAATAATAACATTTTGCACGATGAAATCGGTATTGATGTATTTCTGTGCTAGTCCTATTTGAAACTGGTTCTGCGATATGAAAACAAAGAATATCAGAGAGAAAGAGGCAAGGTATATGTACGCTTTTACATATGTTTGTATACAGGGTGTTCCTGACGGCGGGATTTTAATTTTAACAGCTGCCTATTTGTCTCAAAACAGTTTATACGAATTAAACTTTTGTTAAATATTTGTCTCTTATGGACGTGATACATATTTAAATTAATGTTAATGGCAAACTAGCATCTAAATTAGCAAATTATTTAAATGTCAAAGAACGGCAACCGTTAAATTGTTAGCAAGCATTGATTTATTTCCACGCGGTAGTACGAATTATGATTAATTACAGGACCAGAGTTAGAAATCTCATTCAAGTAAATTCATGTAAATATTCTATTATTATAAAATATTTATAAGAATGTTATTTTTTCTGAAATATATTATTTTGCCCCTTAAAACTAATATCTTAGTTCCAAAACATCCTGTATAAATCATACAGTACATAATAACATCAAAACCAATTAGATACACATACAGGGTGGTCCCGAGGTAATGGGCCAAAATTCATGGGTAGATTCCCCAAGTAAAAATATTGCGATTTTAGCCGAACTTCTTAGTCCAAAAGTTGATAGTTAAAGAGATTATAAGAGATAGTTAAGAGATATAAAGAGAGATAGAGAGGTGTTAAATGTAAAATATTATTTCAGTTTTCTTTAATTTATTCAAATATCCTCACAAAATTTTGAGAATTGGAGTTCTTTGAGTAGAGGAATTGAAATCTGTTCACAATTTGGTTAAAGTTTATAGAGGGCGCTAGCTGCAGTAGAAATGTGTTAAAAATGACAACTTTTTTGTACTCTCATCTTTGGTAACAAATTCTTATTTTTCAACTTCTTTTACACAAAAAAGGTAAACTTTATTAAAGTAGCTATCTCGTACCGTTTTCAAGATATTTGGCTTTGAAACTTCCAATGCTGTTGCATTAAATTACAATTAAGTACCTACAGGTATTATTAATTTAGCGGTAAAGTTTCTTAAGTAGGATTTGGACAAAAATCAAATAATTGACGTCTTCCACTTGTCTTATTGCTGTCGTTTGTATGCTAATTTCTATTAAGTATTATTCATATCTAATTAAAATCATATCTTAGCTTACACATTAAGTTGTATACTCGTATACATAAATGTGAGATAGAATGCTTCGTTTTTGGAGTTACATGAAATCAGTTGTTTATGGAGAAACTATAAACACTTGAGAAGAACTTTAGTGGCAGGTTTTAAATGCTGCAAAGTCATTTCGCATTAAGGATTGATACTTTAAAATAAAACAATCTTTTAATAAACGTGTTGATAAATGTATTGAAGTTAGAGATGGACATTTTGAGCAATTATTGTCAAAAAGGCATATTATTTCGATTCATAAACATTTTTTTACTCTCTTGATTTTTTAGGTATAATTATTCAGTTGTACAACTTTCTTCTTCGACAAAACAATGTGATTGATGTCTTTTACATCGAGATTACGGAAAGTTACTATTAGTTATAGCACTGCAATTGACAAATATAACTGCACTGACACCAATCTATGAGAAGTATGTACTTAAAAATATAAATAGAACATAAACAGTAAATGCATTAAATTTTATGTTTGGATCCACATTCAGTGAAATGTGGTTTGCCACAAGTTTGTCAGTCATTTTACAACTCCGTACATACATATACAGGGTGATATATGTATTTTTTCCACGATTGTATTGCCTTAGTATACTGTAATAAAACAGAGAGGTTTTCGAAACGTAAAAAATGTATAAGTAAATTTGCAAAATCAACCCCTGAACTGACTTTTTGGTGCAAGGGTTATTTTTGCTTTCAAACTGGTAGAAACATTGAACCAAATAAAAACAGTACTAAAGATTGCCACAAACAACATAAATTTCTGTTACATTGTGAGTTTTTTAAGTTATAAAACGCAACTAAGTTAACAAACTTTGACTTAGACAACATTTTCATGGGGTACCTTCGGTAAGTCGCAGCATGCCTAGAAAGGGTCTTGGGACGTACGCGCACAACACCCTCCATATCACAGATTTGTACCAGCTCACACCGAAGAGTCGAAAGTAAACAAACCGACACTCCACCTAAACGCGAACTAACGACGTCGCGCCATAGCTGTGTCGAATTGCCAGGCAAGTGACGAATTGCGACTGCAGTTTCTTAATTGAAGTGAAGGTTCCTAATTTAGATTCTTAGAACGACGTCTGCGTATAATAAACAGTGAGTCGAATTCTAACGCTCAAAAATGACTTTCACAAGGTGGTCACGGTTCTAATGGGACTTTTAATTGAAAAGTTTGATTGGAAAAAAACCGACTCGGAATGAGAGTGGTAAGAAAGCCTCAGAAAAATCGGAATAGCTAGTCACAGAACACACGTGGCCTTAGTTTAGAGATATTGGGAAGAAGCTTGTGAAAAAAATCGATTTTTTTTTAAATTACCAGGAAAAAAACGGTTGCATGAGCAGGAAAAATTGCCCTGAAAAATTTACCTGTACCAAATTTTAATACAGTACTTTGCTTTTTGGAAATATGGCCAAAATTTTATTTAAAAAAATTTTCTTTGTCGCTCTGTATCTCAAAAACAAAAGACCATCGGCCCATGATCCACAGGGTAAAAAGGGTCTTATTTTTTATGTTCTGCACATCACCATTTTCATGTTTTGCAGCCATTTTAGTAACACCATGTCTAATGATACAAACTTGTTTTCATAATTATTATTTTTTTCTTATGTTAAAAAATATATTTCAATAAAAAATACGGAAGCAGAACTTACATTTAATCCATTTCATTGTATAAGATTTAAAAAATGGAATAATATACTTTGTGTTGTTTTCAATTGACATTGAAACTTGAAAATTAAAAGGCTGAATAGTTTGATTTGTTTCGAACATACAAGGGTGGGATAAAAATATTTTATTAAATTTTACTTCACAAGATAATTGAAAAATTCATATAAACAAACGATTCATTTTCCAGAAACACAGGATGTTAATAATAAGCAAGAAATATGATTTCTTTTAAATTGTAAATACCTGTTTATGATAATATTGATATTGACATGAGCCATATTAAAATCACTTTGCTTTAATGCTTGAAAACTACAATTTGAATAATTAGCACTCGATACTATAAATTTTTGATACAGAATATAATATCTGATGAACCATATCCTGAATAATATCAATAATAATATCAGTGATTGCTTATCTTGACAGGTAGCACACCTACACCTTCAATATTTCGATTTATTTTCAAAAATGTAAGCCTGATCATAAAATTGTTATATTTGTACGTAGATAAAATACATAAATTGTGATAAATTTTCTATTTCTAATAAATTATTCATGAAATTGGAGACAGAACTAATTTATTGGTCATTTTTAGTGACTTAATATTCATTTGTTTTTCATCCAGTAGTACAGATTTAAAAATTAGGGAAAAACAGGACAAATTGTAAAAGAATTAGTTTTTCCTGGACAAAACATTGGAAAAATTGGAATATACCTACTGAAACATTCATAGATACTCGACAGAAATTGTGGATAACATTAATGATAAGCTTTTACAAAAATTTGAAGCTATTCTATAATGGTTTTGAAAAACTGTGCGGTGATGCCAGATTTATTAAAAATACTAAAATTTTGATTTTTGAGGTTGTTTTTGAAAATTTTGCTTATTGAAAAATAAAAAAAATATGGCGTCTATAAGAAAAAATAAAGATGATGGTTTCTCGCAACCGAAACGTCGCAATGAAAATCTAAATATACAGTGCAACTGCTCGTAAAAAGTGTTTTCAGATTTTTAAAATTCCTCTGAATAAAAAAGTTGCAGACAATTTTCGATAATTTACATTTTTTAGAGTAAATTGAAAAACAAAATTATAAAATTCATTCATCTTTCTGTGGATTTTTGGTACCTGTAAAGGACATAGGTAACACTAAGTTATGATATACCAACAAATTAAAACATTTAATACTAGGTGTTTCATTTTTGCCGTTACATTTTGATAACTTCAAACAGTTAGAACTTTCTTAATTTAAATGGAGCACCCTGTATTTTTTTACTCTATCGTATGCAAATTTCCTTTTCCTTTCAAGCCATATAAGCATTGTTAGGGTGGCAGTTACTGCTTTTAGAGATATTTGCAATTTTCTATTTTTTGGACTCTTTTTCTCATATCAGACTTGTCAAATTGGCCACGACCAAAAACACTCCAAAAACAATTGAAATTACTTGACATTTGTCAAGTTAGTTGTCAAATTATTGTTGTGTCTGGATAGTTTTTGCTAAAAATTTAAATATTAATAACTTATTTGTTTCAGTTTTTATATCTTATTACGTGGTTTATTTTACGTTATTCTTTATTTGATTTTTTTACTCTATTGACCCACAAAAATATGCTACGACGTTTGGTGGCCCGCTATCGAAATAGGGTGAAAACCGCCGATCTACACCTAGCGAATCTTAACCTAACATTTTCCGACCTTGACAGTCCGAAGATTTATTATTTGGAAGGAAAGAATGCAGAAGGTGGAGTGTCTATAAACAAAGCGTTTTCGAGTACCTACCTAGTTTTCTTACGCCTAACCCCGTATATGTGTTACTGACAATACTTTTTTCGCCTTCGTATGAACTAAATAAACAAAGCGGCGTATGCACCCGCGTGGGCGTGTTCCTGAAACGCCCGCTCGCCTCTGACCCCAACACCGACATACCTATTCTGGTTCCTGGTCTCTGGGTTAGGGCTATGCCCCCTGCCGAATTGTCCCTCGCACTTGCCGAAGCTGAGCAGCCTGCGGCCGGCGTGTGCGTCCGACGCCACCGACGACACCGAGAACAGCGACAGGTCGGTGGTGACGCTCTCGTGGCTGGGGGACCGCAGGATCCTGCAGGCGACGCTGAGCACCGGCGTCTGGGGCGTGAGCTGCTGGCCGTCCGCGACGGCCGCCTCCGTCGCCGAAGTCATCTTTCTGGGGGGCGCGCGCGATCACCCGCGTTCAATCGGACGCGATATTCCGCTGTTTCTGTCGTCTCATGGCCGGCGGGATCCGGCGGAATAACAATCGACGCCCGAGCGTGTGATCAATACTGCGGCACCAGCGCGGTGAGGATGTGGTGGTTCGGGGATTGTTTGATCTCGGGCGAGGAAAGTGTGTCATACGCGGCGGGTGACCAGCGGGGAGGCGGCGGGTTTGTTTTGTTTTTTTTATGGGGTGGCTTAGCACCTTGCGGATCCTCGGTCAATACCCAAATTATCCTCCTGGAGTAGTAGTTATGAGAAAGCCACACGTTCGGCGCCAAAAACACTTCATTGTGCCAGTTTCGTACAGTATTTTTTTTACGATCCTCTTTTAATTGTTGTTTCAAAGCGCCAGAGTGACGCAACGTAAAATATTTAGATATACGTAGGTGTATGGCATTTAGGTACAGGTTGATCACGCGAAAATTACCCGGCGTAGCCATAGTGACAGCTGTCAGGCAGTAAAGTGTCACATTTACTGCCGCTAAATTAAAAATAAGATTAGACAGTTTTTGAAACTAGAGCATCTTGAAACATATACAGACCATTCATTCCGAAGATCATCGGCAACGTTACTGGCTAATACAGGAGTTGATGTATTAGCAATCAAGAGACACGGTGGGTGGAAATCAGCCACAATTGCAGAAAGTTATGTTGTTGACAGTTTAAGTAGCAAAAATGAAGTTACCAACAGGATTCCTTACAATGTATTAAGAGTCTATTTACTGTAGTAGGAGCAGATCAAATTATTTATATAATAACGCTCGTCTATTAGAAACCACAGACGACCTGATGAAATTATTATTATTCATGAAAGAAGTATCATACAATTTTAATAATATAAAATAAACAGCTTTGTTTGTTATTATGATAAAAATAAAATTGATCGGCGAAAAAATTATGTGTTAAACTTTTATTTTCAGAATTTTAAGGACTACTTTTTCGAGAACGTAATTCGATGAAAATTTATGAATATTTTTTTATTTAATTTAACACTTTTCGAACTTCTGCTGAAATAACTAATAAACATTTATTTATCCCCATTGCCAATTAAGAATATCTATAAAATCATTTTTTAAACAGTTTTGCCAACTAACAAAATTCTTTCACATCCTTTCTATTCCAAACATCCGTATAGTATTTGAAAATTAACCCATCCTTATAAAAGTAAATCCTAATCGAATTGTTGCCTTCGTTATTTCGTTACAAAGCAGATAAATTCTTCGACAGACGCACAAATTGCAATAAATTGTATCTGAAACTAAACAAACCCATTTAAAGAAATTAGAGAGTGTTCAAAGCCATTGTACGAGTAAGGACTGTTTTGGTGATTTAGACCGAGGTCGATCGAACAAGTGCACTTTGCATTTTTTTTTCTAATCTGCAATCTATTACGAAGCTCGGTGCACTACTGTTAATCACGTCAGTTATTGATCATACTCGTGTGCCTAATTGGCAGATATACTCAAGGTCCCAGTTTATGGGGCATAAATTGTAATAATGTTACTGAGCTTTGTTTTAATACCATGAAAATGAATAATAACTATGACGTCATTCATAGTACCTAACTGTTGCGTCTTATATCGGGCGTCCCATAAGTCATGCCAGATTTGAAGTTTGCGCCGTTTCTACGATACAGTGTTGCCAACGGAAAAAAATCATTTTTGATGCAGGAGTGGGATATGTGAACGTATTGTTCAATTTTTATTTTTAAATTTGCCCTAGATGGAAGAAGAAACGTTCGAAACGTTTTGTCGCATACAAAACTGTTAAATGCATAGTTATTACTTACAAAATGACGGTATTTAAGACAAACAAATGGCCAGAACAAATACCAAGTGTAAAAAACCATCACTTATGCGATATAAAATTTCAAAAACTTAAACACGTTTTGATTTGATTCTAAAAAAAATCAGCAATTTAGAATAATATTAATGGAGGATATTTTTTTTAGGGTGGGCCATGCACACCCCCCACATAGCTACGCCCATGACTACGAAATGAATATATTTGCAGAAATCTCAATTTCCGAAAATACAGACATGCTCTTCTCACACCAATTGATTGTACATTGGCGTAAAAAAATATAATGAATTTGTGTAAAGTTCTATACTGGATTTGTTGGAGATGGAAGCTATAATAGCTCTTATTCCATGCTATTTTTTTTTGTTATTTATGCATACTGTTTTGTATAAATTCAGGGGCTGGTAGAAAATATGTTACTGCGGGAACCATGGATCTATTTTTTTTTTGTTTTTGAGGTACAGGACATCCAAGATTTTTTTGAAATAAAATCTTAGACATTTATCTTTATTAAAACAATCTATTGCATTGAAATTTGGTCCATCTTTTGAGTATACTGAATGCTTCAGTACTGTTAGTTTTCGACTGTTTTGTATAGGTCGCTAGTTATGCTCTTTGTCAGGTTAGGTTTTCCGTAAAAACTTTATAGGAAAGACTTAAAATTCACCAAAGAATACGAGATTTTATTTTTGGTCACCATTTATGAATCACCCTGTATATTTTTTTAGAAATATCAATGCCCAAATTTCACCAATCTTTCCAATTTGTAATTTAATCTTACAAGTCCTGGTTGAGTACAGGTGTGACTTTTTTGAACTTCTATGTCCAATTTCTTCAAAAACATGAATTTGTGGGTACGGTAAGGACCTTCAAGGACTTATTTTTGTCTTCTCTGTCCTTACAAAGTATTTGCTTTCAGTTCGAGAGGTACCGAAATGAAACGAGATAAAAACGCGCTTTAGAATCTTTTATTTGCCCAATGTCTTCAGTCAAACAAGAAAACTCGGCACAAATGAGCTACTTAAGAATAAAATTACACATAATAGACCTCACTCCTCCATCAGTACAATAAATAACAAAGATATGACAAACGATATCACCCCATGCATTGATCGGCCATTCGAGTGGTTGTAACGTTCAATATACTCTTCTTATATAAAAAATTAACCATATAAAACTGTAAGCTGAACAAATAACTTAAAATAAATAAGGTTAAGGGTCCTTGTTAGTTTTTTTTTTACTTAAATTTATGTTAAAGTCGTGTACATCACTGGATAGGCATTCACTGTTAATACTAACACAGAGATCGATTTTCCTCATAGAATTTTCTCCTCTGTTTCTAATATCTTTCCTCTTGGTCGAGTTTGACAGATCCACTTGTAGTAAATGCCTAAACGAAACTGGTAACGGGTTATAAAAAAACTATCAAAGCCTCTTAAATCTAAAACACTCTTATATTGATCACATAAATTAAATATATCCTGGCTAGAATATGCACTTTTCATATAGTTTTTTTCTTTCCTGACTTCTTAACCCGTGGGAGAGTGGCACTTTCCTAAAAACAAAAAAAAAGTTAGTCTCGAACTGTTTTTAAAATAAATTATCTGCTGCAAACATCTCTTGGCTTTACTTCAAACCAATAAATTGATATCTACCATTTTAAGATATAGTCTTTCCGATCTCAATTGAAGGACCAAGAGCCTGGCAGTATGCACCAGGTTCAGTCGCTGACACAGCAACTCTGCATTGAAATATGTATTTGAAATCTTGTTCCCATACCCATATACAGGTCTGATTGCCCAGTTGAAGAATGAGCGCGCGGACAAACGCGGTACAAACACAGCCGCACTGGGCGACTGGGCCATAAATTTCAGTTGTTGACAGATGGCCTAGCAGTGCAGTGCAGTAATGCGGAATTTGGTGTGATTCAGGTAATTTTAATTTATTAAAGGCACCTTCTATTAATCAGTCATATTACAATTGCGAAAGGGAGAAATAAGAGGGATATTTTGTTCAACAAAACGAAACCATCATAAATAATTAAAATATGTTGTTGGTCAAATGAACATATAATAGAAATTCTACACATATACAAATTATTATAATTTTTTACCTATAGCAGAAAACTTTTTTTAGAGACACCTATGAAAATAATTAAATTTTATTGCTAGGCGTTTTTATATGTTCAACTGACTTCGGAAAGACTATAACTTCTCTGTCAAAATAAAGCCACGATGAATGCAATTTGCTAATGAAAACATATAACTAGTTATAAAAAATGCAAAGATGGGAAAAATATATCAGGAAAAAGTGTTCTGGAAGTTTTGGTTAAACAGTATACTTGAAAGAAGACTTTTTGTTAGGTTACAATTAATGGCATTTGTAAAAAATGGGAAACACAATATGTAGGCTAAATATGATTTTATATTAATTGTTAATGGATTGCAAATTATCTTAAATATACAGAGTGGCTCATATAAATATATTTTAAAATTTACTTATACTATTTTTTAATTTTTATCTGTAATTGGACTGTCTAAAACCAAAGCCTTTCCAGTTCAAAATACATGTTATGAACCTTTATAAATAAAGTTCGATTATTATAGACACAGCCATATTTGGTTTGAAACAGGTTTAACATATGCCACCCCGATGCCGTTTCTGGGAACTCAGGCGCTTGTTGTCTCCAATATTATCCACCTCTGCATAAGAGTGGGTTGAATCTAAAATTACACCCGTTAATTGTTGCGACATTAATCCAAATTAGACGATAATTCGAGCAAACAGAGTGTCTTGTGTACAGCATTTTATCAATTAGTTTTATTAATCTCATAAATTCCCAGAGTTTGTAAATTTTTACGACTGTTATAAACTGTCAAATTAAAACAAGTTTGACGGACAACAAAATTTCCAAAGCACCATTTAAGTGCTTGAAGGTTCCAATAAATTAGAATCATTCATCAGCAGAACCACCACACATATACCGGTTCTGTACTTATTCTTATCAGTATAACCATAGATGGGACATCCGATAAATGATTCATCTTTTTTTGGACATGGGCGAGTATAAGTGAGATGTAATACAAAGTAGCAGAAAGCGACCTGCTAATTCTTAGGTACTATGAAAGCAATATTCTTGCTATTTAGTTTATACACTGCAATTCCCCCAGAATAGGCCACCCCATATACTGATTTCGAAACATTTATGTTGTCTGCTTCATTATAAGCGGGAAAGTAAATATATTAGAAAAAAATATGGTGCCATCATTACATTCGTTCAAGTATACTATTTTAACGATATTAGCTTCCCTTAAAAAATCATTAAAAAACAGGAAGCCTGAAAAATGCAGTCTCGGGTTAGTTCTCCAGACGAAAACGCACACGGTTAGTAAAAACTCTCGCAATCTACCAAAACGTCATGCCTGAGAGAAGACTCTAGTCGATGTCTTCATCGACATATCTCCTAATTATTTTCAATCTTCTACGGGCCAAAGGCGAGTCCGCTAGACTCTTAACCGACAGCTGACTGCCGCTCTTGCACATGCTAGGACCATGCACTAAGTCTAAGTTCTTATTTTGAGCCAGGTCGTTATAGCTCTTCGATTGCATTTTGGAATCAGACAGAGGCTTGGGCGCCTCGTCGAAGTAGCAGTGCCACGATGCTCTCTTGTCGGTCGTTTTCGGCACTGACAGTTCGTCTTTATTCCAAAAACCAATCTTTTTGGGTAGTCTCATTAGTTTGGAGAAGGAGCGCTTGCTTCTAAGCGAGTTGGAAGAAGAGGTGGATGCAGAAGAGGGTGATCTATTGACCGAAGTCTTGCGTTTGGATTTTGGTGATTGAATGAAGACTTCCTTACAAGGGGATTCTTTTGGTCCCAAGGTCTTCACCACGCCCGGTTTGAGGATCAGCGTCGCTTTGATCGGGCCAGCTGATTGTTCTGGTGTAGGAGGTGGAGGGGCGGCTTTTTTATTGTATCTTCCACCTCTAGCATCGTTTTTTCGTTCGTCTGTTGATATGTTCATCAGTTTGTTGTCTTTTAATTTATCTGTATTGGACTCTTCTTTTGTTTCTCTGTCGATGTTGAGTAACTCTTCCTGATCCGTTTTGGTTTCCTGTTTTTCAGCTTTGGCTTCGATTAGATTTTGTAGAAAGTTCGTGAAGCTTTTTACATCTTTCGTTATATTCAGTATATCCAACTTATCTTCGACGTTTAAATTTTTTTCTTCAGTAGGATCAACGGTACTATTAAGAGAAGGTGTAAGAGAAGAATAGTTTGTTAAACTACAATTCGCATCCAATTTTTGTTGGGCGTCCACGCATGCTGTTAATAACGGACTTTTACCATCAATAATTGTGTTAAAATTATTTAAATCTTCACCTATTTTTTTATTGTCATGCAAAGTATCTAACGTATCCAAAAATTCGGCCTCACTTGAGGAAGACTCGGCCGGGTCTTCGATCAGTTTGTCGATCTTTTTGGCCTTGTCGTTGAAGAAGACTATGTTGGTGTCGAAAACCTCGTTTTCGTCACTGTCCTGTGTAAAAAGAAACCACCTAAATCTCAGTCTACCTTCAGATTAGTATATTTACTGGTTTAGATTCATGATAAAGACTATGGTTTTTGGACCTACATAGTTGGAGTTTGTTGGTATCAATTTATTTCACCATAATTGATATAGGTACTGAGTTTTCGAAAGGCATAGATTACGGGATGTCAAAGTTAAAGAAAAACAAAAGTGGGCATATCAAAAACCGTTTCAGCGACCAGATTTAGGTATATCAAAAAAATTTTGTTCATTTTGGTCTGGTCAACAGCCCATCTCACAGACCTAACTCTGCTGGTCCAAAAACGGCTAGTCCAAATGTTAAACACCCAAAATTCCACTTACGTCGCTTCCTCCGCTCTTCTTCAGGACCGTCGACCTGGTAACCCTGGTGGTGCGAGATCTGGTAAGCGAGCCGGTCCGCTGGAGACCTTCTCTGGCGAGCAGCCTGGGGGGTTGGCCCGAGTACAGCCCCTCCCCGCTGGAGTAGCCGGAGGAGATGTCCTCAGCCGACTGTATGGAAGAAATACGGTCCGCCCTTACGTCCACTTCGGAGAAGTAGATGGCCGAAGTGGACGAAGATGACCTGTGAGGGCTGCGGCGACGCCGGACGAGACGGGGATCGGTGATGAGGACGTCGGTCTCGTCGCGGCCCGAGTCATGGTCGGGGTCGGTCAGGTCGCTCAGGCTGTAGCTCTTCTTCAGCTGGTTCACGATGCCGCCGCCACCCTAGAATTGAATAATTCTAAAAAAAGGATGATAAAAGGTTGCTGGGTTAGTCCGATCTAGGTGGCTACGTATAGGCGCCTAGTTCACGCGATTAAGGTCATTTCCATTATATATATTTTTTCTTTCAAAAAGTTTACTTAAAATGCATAGATTCTTTGTAAATGATTACAAGCCACAGTACCGTTTAGTATAGGCAACCAACCTTGCATGATTGGCACCGTCAATTAAAAATCCCTAGATCATAACGCCCTCAGTTTTATTGGTTCGTTTACAATGAATAATGACCAACCGTTATGACGAGATAATGCGATCGCTGATCGAATTTTCAAATCAATATGGACAACTATTTCCCTTATATTTCCTGCAAATATTTACATTTAAGAAAATTACAATCGTCTATTAAGTCGGTCATGAAAAAAAGGAAAATTAGTTTGCAATATTTCAGAGCTAATCTTTTTTTTAATTGGTTAAAATAAAGTGGGGTTGCACATTTTTTACAAGACACCCGGTATAATATTTTATATGATTCGTGAAAAGAACCCAAATCGAAATCACATCTAAACACTAAATATTCCAAAAATAATTAAATAATTTTTTATATTTTCATTTTGTGGCTAGAACATAAAGCTCCCGTAGCAATTTGAAGATTCGGCGCCTATGGTGAAATAAAGTTCCAGATTAATTCTTTGATAGCGCAGCAACAATTTTACGGTCTATCTTCAACGCTATTTTGCATCTCAAAATTAAATCTGCATATTTATAGTTTAATGTCATGTGTACCAACAGATCCATGGTCATATGGTAAATAGATGCAGATACTGGCAAATTTATTTAGGCAGGTTGAAATTAATGGTATGGTATAAAATAAATTACGCTGAATAGATTTTATAGTAAAAAGAAATTATTTCAAACTTCGAGCAAGGCAATAATTTAGTCATATGCTATATTCACTACGAATTGATTACAAAATACTGACAACTTATAAGCAGCAAAAAGTCAAAATTTCAAAATGTGAAGAACAAATCGCCAGGAAATCAATTTCAGTCATTTAAGCTTGCTGTGTTCAAGCCAAAGCGACGCCCTTAGTGTTAGTTTATTTATTTTCACTAATTTTGATATGTCCTGAATATTTTTTAATATTTCAGTTTTGTTGTTGATTTCCGTTTTCTTTTTTTCATGATTTATAAACCAATAATTCGTTTTTGATTGCAAAACAAATGCTAAATTTTATATGATTGGTTGAAACATTTGTTCAAATTTTATTGGGGGACACTGCGTCACAAATATAGAAAGTGCTCAAAATTAGTGGCAAGGACAACAATGATGTATTTCAAACATTTGCAAAAATGTAATAAAATTTCCATGGTCGTATTTAAAAAAATGAAGTTGATGATGGTCCTGGAGAGACGAAATGTTACTTATAAAAATGTACTATGCCATTCGAGAGGACAAAAAGTTGCCATGAGAAAGTGTTATTTTTTCAATATCGCCTCAAACAAGGCTGAAATAAAACTAAAACGGATTTCGAAAATTTCGTTTTTTTTTTCAAATATGTATTTCGAAAACTAATCATGTTAGCCTTGATTTTTTAGATGCATAATGTCGGCCCCTCGATTATGTAACTTTGCCCCCATTTAAGCTACTTCGTATCTCTTACCGTTTCCAAGATCCCTGTAGTGAGAAGCGAATTTGTAACAGCCTGTATAGAGTTTTTCTGGGTTATGGTTTTTTGTTATGTGCCTTTTTAAACAGTGGCACACGTTTACTAAAATAATGAATTTGTCGATATGCTTTTATTTACGGGGAGTACCGACAAAATGCAGCCGCAGCATCTCGTTTATATTGTGACGTGAAGAAATTAAACAAAATAGAAGCTCGTGGACAGGGATTTTATTTTCATCTTGCGATTTTTGAAAAATATTTGTAAAACATAACAAGAGCATAATAGAAGTTAATATGTCGGTGTTTTCTTATTTCTTCGTTATTTTACAACTTTTATACATGCGGCTTTCGATAAAATTACATATTTTTAGGAAGTATACATCTTTAAAAATACGGTCCTTTTTAGAGGCTTTTGTCACTCCCTGTCGTACATTTTTTTTTTCTTTAATCCGCCCTTGAAATTTGACTAAGCATTTAAATTAAATCCTATATACACAAAACCCTTGACAATACTATTAAATATTTTCTAAAAAACTATTAAGCAAAAAATTTAAAAAAAATACTTACTGTGTGTTTAACTGAAATGTAAGTGATGAAAAAGCCATGCAGTGCGTCTTGCTGGGAAAGGGGGGGTATATTAGTCAGAATTAGTTTTTTTTGTTAATTTATTATTTTTTTATTATTCACTCCATTCAGGTAAATAAAAGAACATAAAAAACATAATGTACATAATTTTATTTGTTAAAATTGATACTAATTATAAAAAAATCACACTATTATAACTAAAAAATATACAATTAAAACGATTTAGTTTAAAACGTTTAGGTACAAATATGGTAATGGTTCCTCTACAAACTAATTGTGACTGAAAGACGTTTAAAAATGTATAAAAATACAGATTAAAGTCCTGATAAAATTATCGCAATATCACAAAAAGGGTCCTAACGCAACCCTCGTCAATTTAAAATTTTCCCTTAACCTTTTTATATTCCTATCACAAAAAAGTATAGCCAAGTAAGGAAATCACGACTATTTCTCTAAAAGTTTGCCCCTGTTTGGAGCCAATCGATTTTTTTTAGTTTCATATTATTTTCCAATCGCCTTGATATTTTGAGGTCATCATTAAAGTGCATTTTCATTGCAAAAGGAGCAAAAACCGTTAAAAATTAAAGAGTAAACCGAAAACCACAGCCAGAGTTATCAACTTAACAAACCCTGTTTAGTGTTTATCTTGAAAGACTATTTTTTGCATAAAACTAAAAAAAATGTACGATGTCTGTAGGACAAAACAAAATTTCACTATTAGATTTTTTAGTTTTGGCATCTATTTTTTACAAAGTGGGCCAATTTCGACGCTTTTGTTTAGACGTCACAATTTCCGAAAAAAGTTGAACGACGAAAAGCGAATATCTCGATATCTTGATTCGTATTCGACAGACACAGGGCGTTTTCCAATTTTGGCCTTTTTTATGACGCGCTATAACTTTTTGTTCATGCAAATATTTGATTTTTGAAAATAGGTTTTTTGTAATACCAAAGAAAAATGTAAATTTTGAAAAACGAAAGCTACAGAAAAATAACTGACTTCGACACAAAAAATTCTTTAAAAAAATTAAATATACTCGCAAACAAAGAAGTTATCATGAAAAACGACCAAATTAAAAAGCGCCCTAAATCTAAAACGAATATTTTCCCCATTCAATATCTCTCGAAATACTTTTCGGAAAATAGGAGAAATCTTCCAAAATTCTCGAAACCTGGCACACCCAGTACAAAGCATATCATTTAACAGACTTAGTTTATGAAAAACTACTTCTACGCGAAAAGTTTGACGACCTCTGAACCTAACCTCAAACTGTAAAGATATATTTCGACATTTTAAGATAATAAGTAAATAATTTGATAATATTTGTTAAAAAAAACGCGTTAAAAACTATAGACACACAATTTTACTTCGCAATGAACGCCAGAAACACGACCCTAACCTCAAAAAATCGAAACGAAAGTATTTGACATCTGACAGACATCCGCTAAGACAGCGACACCCCACCTAACCCACTAAACAAAAAAAAAAAACAATCGACCAATCGCAATCAATCGCTCAAGTCCATTCTATCAGTCTTTGACCCCTTACTGCCCTTCCTGGTGGTCTTTTTCGTGGCGGCAGCCTTGGCCTTGCCCCCACCCCTCTTACCCTTCGCGGCCTTGGGGGCCTTCTCGGGCGGGAGGAGGGGGGTCTCCGCGTCTAGGAAGTCGTCGTCGTCGTCGGAGTAGGCGTAGGCCTGCACGTTGTCCGCCGTCTGGGACTTCCTTATGCCCACGGCGAAGTCCGTGTGGTCGCGAGCGGCGTGCGAGGATATGGCTGGGTCGGAGTGTGAGGGGGTTATTGCGGTGGGCAGGTGAGTTATGGACTAGAAAGCGTGAAAACGGCGTTAAAAAAATTAAAAAAAAAGGTAACCGAAACCAAAAAAGTCACGCCCAAGGTCGAAGGAACGGGCGAGGCTAGTAAGTCCTTATCTAATTCTGGGACTTATTTCTCGAAAATGGTGTTATACAATTTAGAGGTAAATTTGGTAAAAAAATATGCGATATTTGCATTGCTTGAACATATCAGTAGAAATCCAATTGAATTTCTTTGAGTTGTAACTTAAAAAACACATATTTCTGTGCACCCGTCTTTGTAGCTTGAAAAATGTACGAGGTGTGGTTATAAAATAATGGCCGAGAAGACGTTGAAGATGACGCATGCCCGGAGCTCCCTTCCACGTCAAAAACTAAAAAAATCGCTAAGAATCTTGGTTTTTCACTTATGATCCAGAAACTAAATAGGTAGCAATCCATGCATTGGAAGAACCTAAAAAACTCGAATGAGCAAATCAAAATTCAAAGCGACGATTGATTTTCTGGATATCCATGGGATTGTGGACCTTCACTGGGTCCATGAAGGGCAAAGTGTTAATCAGCAGTACTACATCCAGGTTCTTGCTAAATTCCGTGAGAAAATCAGAAAAAACACACCCGAATTGTGGGAAAAAAGTAATGGGTTCTTCATCAGGAGAATGACTGGCTCACACATCATCTGTCAAGACATTTCTAGCCGAGTATAACATCCTAGTGTTAGACCATCCGCCTCATTCGCCTGACCTGGCACCACGTGACTTATTTGCTCTCCAACGTCAAATCTGCACTAAAGGGAACAAGATTTCAAACCGTTGACCACGAACGAGTTCACAGAAAGACTTCCACCATTGCTTCGACCAATGCAAAATTCGCATGGAAGGGGGTAGGAGTAGAGGAGTATATTTTGAAGGGGACAATAATTAAGTATATGCAACTTTAAAATAAAAAGTTTTACAGCATCTGTCCCGTTATTTTATAGCCACACCTCGTAAGTCTCCATTTAATTATTCCTATTGCACTCAAATGATTTAATTCTCTGAGAAAACCCTTACTAGAATATTTAAATAGAATCTGCGGGCCCACGAGGAACTTTTTCTAGTACTTATACAATTTTAGCGATCGACCTGGTTTTAATTCTGGCGACATTTTTTTTGGTTTCGGACCCGTATGCGCTTAGTGAAAATGTAGCAAAATTAAAGTTAGCACAACGAATTTACGCGACACTTGGGGAAAACTACTGACCTTGATAGCCGTTTGCATGAGGGCCGACATGCCCTTCGTTCCGAGGTCCAAGACCTGCCTGTAGCTCTGCTCCTTGGCTTTCGTGATGTATTCATCTATTTCCTGAAAAGGGAGTAAAAAAATGAATACGTTTTAGTAATCAGTACATCGAAACAGAATAAATATAAATTCTTCAGATGTTAAAAAAAAAATACCCACCTGTTCCCTAGAGCTAAGCATGGGGTGTACGAATTTTCTGTATAAAATACTGGACCCCTTTGTTGCTGGGGATAGCAACCATATGACCAGCACGATTTTGATCTCATAGTAAAATGGAAACCTGAAAAAACAAAATTGTACGTAAAGGTTAAATCGTTGGGGTGTACCAAGGTTAATTGAGGTCGACTCATTCCGGATAGAGGGAAAGGGAGCAATAATACAATCAATAGCGTAACAAAACCACAAATCAGGATTCAAAAATTTGCACTTCGATAATTTATATTTTTCTTTTAACATGATCTTGAAAACCTTTGATCACTTCATTTATAAATGCAAATGCAACTAAAACTCTTATTTAAACAATTTAAAAGAAAAATTTTATGCAAAAAATCGTTAATAAACAATTTGAAAAAAAAAACAAAAAATTAAATTTTTTAATTTTTTTTTACTTTTTTGCCTCTAGTTTTTTTTGAGTAAAGATAGGTATAGGCATTGCTTCATAAAAAAATGTAGATAAAATTTCCTTCAAAATAGGAAGTTGTAAAGTATTTTTGGATGAATTGGTCGAACGGTCATTAAAAATAAAAAACCAAGGGGTGCTATTAAATTAGAGGGTTGAAATTGAAGATAGGGGCGAAAATGCACTTTTGCAGTTTTTTAATTATAACACGAAAACGAAGCAAAATTTCGGTATAGTTCATAGGGAAAAATTTGTAGAGAATTGAATTTCTCATCGAAATGGCTTATTTAAAAAATTTAAAAGAAAAATTTTATGCAAAAAATCCTTAATAATAATCCATTTTAAAAAAAGCAAAAATACGATTTTTTAACTATTTTTACTTTTTTGACTGTAATTCTTTTTTAGTAGAAGTAGGCAAATAAAATTGCTGTACAAAAAAACTAGATGAGATTCCCTTCAAAATGATGCCTTTTCAAAAGGTTTTGTCTTAATATTGACTGAGTTATAACCGGTCAAACTTAAATATTTTTTAGATTCTCGTCGTTTTTAACGTAATAATGATTATAATTCTTATTATTTTTACAACAAATTGGTTCTTTACTTAATAAAAAATTATTTCAAAAGTTTTATTTGTTAATAATAAATAAAGATTTTCACAACTTAGTCAGAAAAGTAAAAAAAAATCAAATCATCTTATTTTTTGCTTTTGTTTAAATTGTTTATTAACGGTTTTTTGTATAAAATTGTCCTTTTAAATTTTTTAAATAAGCCATTTCGATGGGAAATTCAATTCTCTAAATAATTTTTCCTATGAACTATAGCGAAATTTTGCTACGTTTTTGAGCTACAATTAAAAAACTGAAAGTGGTGCATTTTCACCCCTATCTCCAATTTCCACCCTCTAATTTAATAGCACTCAGCGGTTTTTCATCTAAAATGATCCTTTAAACGATTCATGCAATAAAATTGCTTGAAAGTCATAGTTCCTTATAACCCTGTTTTTTTGGAAATAATCAATAGCCTATTGGTCAATCTTTAACGACTGTCCCTACGTCACAGATTAAGAATCGTCAGAAAAATAAATAGTCTGTTGACATTCACAAAACCGTAGATATTATTCAATGATCTTTTGTTAGAAACTCACGAAAATTTCGAGGAACAATGAGGCAACTTCTTTTTTTTTTGGAAAACCTGATTTGTCAATTAAAAAAATCATTTCCCGACTATTTCTTTTCAATATATTTGTGCCATTGTTCATACAAATATTAAAATTAAACTGTCAAATGTCATGTCACAAATAACGCTAAAATAGAGGCAAAGGATATACAAAAGTAAATTAATAACTATTAACTAAATTAAATTTGCTTTTAAGACCTCGAAAATATGTTTTAGTTGTAACTGTAACGCCTATTTAGTAAAACTAGGGCGCCGCATTGAAAAAATCAGTGGCGTGCTCACGCGCGCCGACTTCGGGCCAACGATATTTGGAACATAAACTGTTTCTTTAAATTTCCCAATACACTACTCGGCATTCCGCCAAACAGCCACTCATTTGAAGCAGAAATCGATACAGCAGTTGACACAACAAGAACGGCATATGGTAGGTCAGTTTCTTATGGATTTTTCAGGCAAGTAGAAATATTTAACGTGGTTCATTACCGGCCGGTGTGATATCGATTTTGTGAATTTCCGGATTTTCCTCTGACTACACAAGGAAATGCAGTTGCTTCCTAGAACTTTAATAATCGAAAACGATTGCTAAGTATCCAAGTAATGCGTATAGACACATTAAGAATGTTGTGTAAAAAATAACATGAAATAAAATAAGTTAACGGTTTGTCATTGTTCCTTGTAAACGAAGGCCCTGTAGCATCATATGAAATATTTGCTCGTAACAATGTGTTTCGTCGCCTTATCAAGGTTCCCGATTAAAATCTGGACCACTCTGTATACAATGTCCAATGTCCCTCAATGTTAATCTTTAAATAGACACGCTATTTAAAAGAAAACATTAGGATTCTGACCTCCAGAATAAAGCAGGTGATAAACTGTGGTCGTTAACAATACCTTGTGTTGAAAAATTGAATATTTATAGATTAAGAACTAATACTAGTTTAAATATAAGCGTTGAGGTAGGCGTTCTGCAATTAAAATTAGTAATACGGATTTTATTCGGTATTAAATTTCGTTTTTAATAGTCACTGTGACAGCACTTGCGGATAATTTTCGAGTATGCATATTTTAAAGATGAGACGGTTAGCTTGCCAATACAGAAAAAATCGAATTTAAATTTCTTCTTCAACATATTACGGTAATTTTACTACCAGAAAATAGTGCTGTTCTCAATGACATATCCAATGCTACACTGTACTAATTATTCCTAGTTATAAACTAATGCAAAAAATTACAGGGTCAAAAGAATTTCCGAAATTTTTCCAGGAAGTTTGACAGACTGTATTTAGGTAAAAAATGATCCTAAGAAATAGCACGACAAAAAATTTTCTATAACATATTGTCGCAACTTTTCGGAAAATTTTTTTTACATCTTTTACTCCAATTAAAAAAAAACAGGAAAAAAGGTAAAATTAATGGTTATTTAGAAAATTGACGGCTAAATTAGAAATATTCACGAAATGACTAATGTTATGCATGACTTTTACAGTTCGATATTCCCAGAACAACCCTGTGAAATTTCATCTCGATCTAGAGAACCGTTTCTTTATTTCAAACAGTCAAACTTTTGAAAATTAAAGGGTCAGGTTTTTTTAGCTTATACACTTCATAATCATGATTAAAATGGAAAAAAACTTTTTTTTTAATTTCTTACATTTTTACCGCAAATAACGTTTAAATTGATGCAAAAAAAGTTTTTAAATTCGAGTAAGATGAAAAAAATTTTTTTCTGAAAAGTTGCGGCAGCATGTCAAGAAATTTATTCCAGTTTTCTTCGAAACTGCCCTTAAATTCTTTGTACGACCATTTGTCGCCCAGACATCGACGATTGAAGACAAAAGGATCCTTTTCCATTAAAAGTCCAATATTTCGATGAAAAATGGTCGTATCGAAATTAAAAAAAAGGAAATTGAAGCTGAATAAACAAGCTATCTGGTCTATATTATCTGAAAAAAATTTTTCCTAAAAAATTGTAAAATTTTTTAGTCGCGCTATTAGAATTGCAGGATAACCGTAGATCCTAAAAAATTTCGACCGAAAGATCTAAAAACTACAATCTTAGAGCTTCAAAACGTTTATTTTTAATTCCGATACGACAATTTTTCATCTAAATACAGGCTTGCAAAAATCACGGAAAAATTTCGGAAATTTTTTTGACCCTTTAATTCTTTGCATTAGTGTAATTATTTTAAATATACATTTGGAAATCAAAACGATCATTTCATTGAATCAAGTCTACACTTTTTGGTATCCAAACGATGATTTAATGAAAAAAAGTAAGCCTCAGATTATTTTACAATCCTACTATGGACACACACAGACATCTACGGTAGAGATATACCGCAGAAGAAATCAACTCCTATTATTGCGTTACATTTTACGATATACCTTTTTTATATAAAAACATGCTAAGTTTATATAAAACTGAAACAAAAACGAAAATTAAGAAGACTGTGAAATTTCATTACAAGTGCGGAGAGTATGTAGCTGAGACTGTGCTCAAATTGCGTGGAATATCACTGTTTGTACCTGCTCCAAAGAAATTAATGCAAAAATTTTTCCGATTCTTTGCACTAAATATACTATTTTAATCAAATATTCGGTTCGATATCAAATACAAATTCTCAATCTTTTGAAATAGATTACAGTTCACCTCAATTTAAAGATGTAAAACATGTATTTGAAGAACAATAGCAGTTTTCATCGTGTATGAAACCTAAACCAAAAAGTTTTATTTTAGATACTTATAATTATACCTGTAGAGAAGACGAATATAAACAGTTCTCCTCGAAAATTTACCAGTGTGATTATTAACGAGTGTAATTTTTCAAATCGTTTCAAGTACCTACTTAACACCTAAACTATCACCTGATTCATCGAGTGAAAACATGTTGAGTAATACCCGAGCGTTGACTAAATGAAATATATTTTGTTTTCGCGTTGGCAATTTTTTTTCACCCATTTGCTAATACCTCCGTAACAATTCACAGTTTAACAAGATTGCTCGGTTTGGCAACTATTGCGCTGGCTGGATCTCGAGATAGGTACCGAAAAAAGAAATGGGTAATATAATAGGAATCTCGCTGAGAGTAAACCGACCGTTTTCTTGTTAATTATCAATCGATGATGGCGGAACTGTTTGTTTTATTGCGTACGGAGACAAAGACCTCGGTTTTCGTGTATTAATAGACTCGGATCTGGATCGTAAACGAGGATTCTATAAACTATAATAAACACGGAACTATTGCGTCACTTACCAACTAAGAAATACGTCTGTGAAGGTCTCTATGCACGTGAAGAGGGCGAAGACTATCCAGTACATCATCCATTTTACCTAGAAAGAAATTATGTGCTAAGAGGGCTCTATAGGAAATAGGCAACCACCAATACATTTTTATATATTTTATTACACAGCTCGTCTAAATATGAATTAATGTACAAATAACAGACTTTCCTCCTCTTAAAGACAGATTTTCTATAAAATGGACTTGGTTTGAAACTCAAATTACTCTTTGGTGTAAAGAAATTTGTAATTAGCATCGTAAATTACAAATTTCTTCGCAATAAAAAGTAATTTAAGTTTCACACCATGTCCATTTTGTAGAAAATCTGTCCTAAAATGGAGGAAAGTCTGTTATTTGTGCATTAATTCATATTTAGACGAGCTGTGTAATAAAATCTATAGAAATGTATTGCTGGTTGCCAATTTGCTATACAGCCCTCTTAAATATTTCATAAACGAACTCCTTAAGGATGTATATCGGGGTCCTATGCTTTTCTTATGGGACTAAAACCCGCTGCCAATTTGAAAAAATTAAATTCTATTGAAATTATTTGCGATAAACATTGTCTATATAGCAAAGAAATCTACACATATGCACATAGCGTACATATTGACTAATTAACAACATAAAAATATCATATTTAAGTAGTTTTAAATTATATTTAATTAACGCATAAAGACTATGTAGATGTGGCAACAGCGCTGATAATTGACTAGCAGTTGTATACACTGCAAACCTACAGACCTCGGACATCGAAGATATTGCGGGTCAAATTCGGGTAAAGATGCGTACGCGTTCAAAAATGTACTGTGTGTAAACTATGTACAATATAATTATTATATATAGCAAATATATCGTATTATCCTCTCGAAGATTTGTATCCTTTATTTAAAATCCGTAAATCATGTGAACTGATAAAACAACGAGAATTATGTTAATTTAGTTCTAAAGAAATGAAATGACACTCGCGTCCATCTCTTGTCCAAGTCAAAGAAAATGTTGGATGCAATTTTGAAGGTTCTGTGATAGAAATTACATTATTACTCAGTGTTCGTGTTTTTAATCTCTATTTTAGTAATGTTACAAAAGTTTTGCAACTATAACTAATTTTTTAGATATAAAGTTTGCTGAGAAATATTTATGTTCCTTTGTTATTCCGTACAAATGCTTTTATCTCAAGTATTACTAATTTTATTAATCAAGTAATGAACCCTAAATATTGCTGGGTAATGATTACGATGTTTTTATAAACCATTAAATATATTAAAAGGATTTATCAACTGTATTTTTTATCCAATAAATATATCACAGCTTCCTAGTATTTTTTAATTAATCTAGTTTTTTAAAAACATTACAAAAAATCATCTGTTGTGGATAATTTATTGTTGATAACAATGTACATGGGATTTAGGAAAAATGTATATGTTTGAAATCAATTTCGTTTTTATCAAGTCTATCAAATGTATTCCTTCCTTGCTGTCAGCTGATTGCGACGTTGCCACATGAATCCTCAAATCAGACAGAAATGCAATTATTGGTTTCTGTTTCTAATTAATACAGTTGTACTATGTTCAAAACTTACAATAGTTTTACATCAAAAATAAGATAATACTGTCTACTATCTATGGAAAAGTTTTGTTTCACAATTTCTACATTTTTTTCTCAGTTATGAGCAAAAAAGAACCGCACCGTCCATCTTCGCCATATGTTAAAATAAACAACTTTCAACAACAATATCTCAAGATCTAGATTCAAAAAAAAATTCCAAAAAATATGACGCACAGAGGGTAATACGCTGTATAAATAGTAGTTTTGACTGAATTCGACAATTGATCTTGACCTGACACTGTGTTTATCTCTAGTAGAGTTGAACGTATAAAAAAAAATTTGGGTAAATACTGCAAGATAACTTGTGTAAAAATCTAATTTTTAATTTAAAAAACTAAACTGATGCGTAGAACTTTAGAGTGACAATATCTGAGGAATCTGACGTTTATTTCAGTGTTTCCTGTCGAACAGAAAAAAAATAACAAGAACTACGTTCCTCCTCTCAAAATCAACTATAAAAATACTCTTGCCGAGTAAGTGGAATTGCCCCTCCTATAAATAGATCTATCAGTAATACGAACTCGATTTCGTTTTTACGACAGCTAAACAAGTACTTAGCACCACCTATTTCTGTATGACGAAACGAAATCGAGATTGGTTCGTTCACCCTGACATGACCGTACGCTCTTGGTCCATTCCGCAGGGTGTCTCCTTTTACGGAAGTCCAGAATCAGAAGTGGTAATCGTACCGTTATCCGAGTGATGATGGTAAAAGTTGAGATAGATAACCAGATACGATCGCAACTTTTAATTTTTTACGATCGTCGAGGAGAGATATTACGACATTTAAGGCGACTGATTGCATCGCCTGCATATTGGAGAAATTTCTAACCTTCAAGCTGAACAACTGGGTACCTAGTTCTAAAAAAAACAACTGCTGCAGGAAAAAGTGATTTATAATAGATATAATCAGCGTGTTGTCCCACTTGAAAAAATGCTTTGATTAATCTGCATTGGGTATATTTAGTTTCATGTCTAATACGCCTTAAATTATTTGTATAAATGCTTTTAAGCACTGCCAATGCCAGGCCAAGAAAAATTATGTACCGGTGTCGAAGTTTTGACGTCTAGACTGGGCGAGGTGGGCGGATGAGGCTAGTATCGATCAGTTTTTGTATATGTAAATACCTTGGTCGATTTTTTACTTGCATATTATAATCTATAAGAGAATTAAGACAAAAATATTTCAGTCTGCATTTAGTTTATTTTAAAAATAAATTGGCAGTCAAATTTAAAAAACAGCAACAACAAATATACCTAGATTAAATTTCATTATTTATAAATAATTATATCTTTTATAACTTTTTTAAATTTACTGATTTTTCTCTGAAGCTAACAGCACTGTAAAACGATAAATTTGGATTATAAAATAAAAGTGTTACTTGTTCAGGGTTTAACCTAATCTTAGTCTAATTTCATTATCTATACAGGGTGGTTGTAACACTTAGGTGGTTTCTCGTATTTTCCGCAGAAATATAGTCTGTTTGATTATAAAGGCCTCGAGCAATAACTCAGTTACCTATTTTTGAACACCCTCTAAAATATATATATTTTTAGGTGGAATATTATTTTCTTTATACTGAAGCACGATTTTTTTTTTCGGCACACTAGATGGGTGGTGACGTCATCGATATTTTTTTAAATGGGATTGTATAAATTTTTTTGCACGTTCGAAATATATCGAAAAAACCGTCAAAAATCGATTTTTTTGTTTTTGCTGTATGTGTTTAATGATTCATATGATAAAGAAGAAGAAAATTAAATGGAATCAAATTCACCGCCTTTCAAGAAGTTAAAATTGTAATTTTATGGACCGCATTATTTTTATTAATATTTTTTAATTTTGAGAATTTTGCAATAAATTCAAATGCTTTTTATCCTTTTTTAAATCTTTTAACAATAAATAATAATTTGAAAATAATGTATGAGTTTTTACTTTAATTTTACATTCAAATTGTAATTAAATAACTAACAAAATATTGAAAAAATAAGTTTACTTTGGCTTAATATGTAAAAATAACTTTTTAAATGAACGATAGCCTCATTTATTTATTTAATAGTAAATTAATTCCGAAATTGAAATTTTAATTAATAGTTCGTTTAACAATAATTTTTGTGACATTTTTGTAAATTAAAAAAAATTAAGTATAAAAGATGCATTTTTTCTGGGGTTCAGAGCTATTCTACGAATTCGTAAATATGCCCATTGTTATTTTTTCGTCGAGCTACCCCAGTTTAATCAAATAAGAAGTTTCCACGATGAATAGAAGCCGAGATATTGCAAAATTTTACAGCGCGCATCAATTTGAACTTTGGATTTAGCTTTTCTCGCGCGCGCGACTCGTTTGGACGAGCTTCCCCCATCACCACGCCACCGCCTGACAGTTTACTTAGCAGGTACCTTCTCTTTAAAGTGCTCGTGAGTCGTTAATTTTCCACATTTTTCAATGCAATTCACGGGAAATTGTAGTTTACGTCGTAAGCTTTATTTTACGAAAAATTCAATTGTTAATGTTTATAAACAATTGCGCTACGATTAAAAAAAACATTCTTATCTTGGCTCCTGTTGGTCGTAGAGGGTGCTTTTTTTTTAAATTTGTATTTTTTTGCCAGCTATCCATTGAATCTATTTTCGGTGAGGTAGCATAAATGCAACAATTTTATTCAAATTGTTTATAAGCGAAAAACGCACGGTTTTTTAATGCACAATTTAAGAATGTTAGTGTCAAAAAAACGGTGATAGTTTTTAATATGTCGCTTAATTACGTCTTTAAGATTATAATGACGCTTTCAGAATCATGTTTGGTTGAAAATCAACGCCTGTACAGAGGCTTAAAGTTCATAACTTTTGGAGCCTCCGTTATAAACAAATTGAACTGTGCGAAAACTATTGCGCCTACAGCGCCCATTTTTGGCACACTTTTAAAGTATGACAAAACCCTCAACTTGTCATAGGTTTTATAAAATTTTAACAATAAATGCGATAGTTATAAACAAATTAAAAAATGGGCACTTTTCTTGTTTTTTTGCAATAACTTTTTTGTTTATTAACCGATTTTAATTTAACAAGTCTCATTTTGTAGATAATTTTATTCCCTACAAGTTGTCTGTGAGTCACTTTTCGCTAAAATTGATGGTTTTCCCTGCAAAGTGAAAAAACTGTTTGTCTCACTTATTTGTTTAAATAGAAAAGTTAGCTATTAAAATTTGTTGACTCACGAGATGAGAGATGTCTTGTATTATCTTCCTTTAGACAATTTTACAATAATCTCGCGGATAGGAATTTTTTCGAGTAAAAATTTTATTTGCCTGGTGTAAATTTCTATTACAGGAATCGATTGCTGGCATTTTTACGCGAATTTAAAAAAAAACGTTGCTCTACGACCTTAAAATATATACTTAACATGGTGTCCAAAAATGGATTACCGAGTTATAGCTCGGGGCCTTTATAATCAAATAGACTGTATACAGGGTGGGTCAATTTTTTTACATTTAGGTGGTAAGATGTATATAAATACTTGAACAAATCTTACTGGAGATTAATCAGAATTTAAAAGAAAATAAGTAAAAGTTCATAAAAACACACGCATCCATAGACACCTCGTTTTCGAAATACAGGGTGTTAAAAAAATATTATACTTAAAAAAAAGGCTTATTTCTTGGTACCGCCGCGGTGCCATGATCCACCCTGTACAAACGCAAGAGCACCTCATCCGGCCATAAACCACAACATAAAGCGAGCTTAATAAGAAGTCCTACTTACGTATTCCTTCACGTTCTTCGTCCTCACAGCCTTGTACGAAGCATAAGCGGGATACAGGGTACCGAACAGCAATCTGAAACCGGGATAGAACACCAGATAAGTCATCGCGCTGCGACACACCACCCCCAGCGCCACCACCACCACCCCCGCGTGCAACAGAGACGGCCGCAGGCCCCCGACGCCCAGCATGGCGCTCAGCACCTTCGGCGTCTCGGCGGCCAACTCGGCGTACAGCATTTCGCGCTATATTTACGTTGTGCACCGGGTGCAACGCACTCGTCTGTGTATTTCCGAATTATTTCGGTTTTGGTGTTAGCCGAGCGCTCGGAACGCTCTTCGGCGACGTTGCGGGTTCAATTGGTGAGTTGGGTCGCGGGCAGGCGTCGGGCGGACAGTCGACTGTTCCGAGTCGCTGCCTGGGCACGGCGGCACGCTCTGAAGGCTACGAGGCTGGTGGTGGTACCCAGTGAATGGGGTACTGCGGGTTAAAATGTCAGGGGTATTGGAAAAATTTATTAATTTATACAGGGCGTATACTAAAGTGTAAGAAAAACGAGATACTGGGTGTTAAAGGATCTTCCAACAGTGTTGCCAGATTTAGTGATTTTTCCCTAGTTCTAGGGGAAAATTCACGAAATTTGTGAGACTACCTATACAGGGTGTCCCGAAATTAATGGGACACAGAGAAAGAGTAGATTCCTTACATCGAAATAATGCGATTAAGCCAAACTTACCTTGGTCCATTTGTGGCTAATAAAAAAGTTACAGGGCGTTAAAGTTGAAATTTTGAATTCGAAATTCTTAAAATTCTTAGAAAGTTTTCAAAGGATTCTTTTGAAAATTTGGATTAGGGGGTTTTCTGGGACGAGAAAAACGAATCCGTACTTAATTTTGCTGTAGACGCTAGAGGGCGCTACGAAATGTACTCTTGGTTGATAAAAACTGGTTATAACTTTTTTATCAGTGTGTGTACGAAAGTTTAAATAGAAAAATATTGTTCTCCTATCTATTTTTCACAAATAAGGGATACTTGTTTTATGTCGATAAATTTAACCGTCTTCGATTTAGTTCTTGTTTTTCTTTTGGATGCAATAAATTAAAATACATAATTTATTAAAACTACTGAACTACTGAAGTGGTCACTTCTGCTAATTGATTACAGGATAAATGTTGTATCTTTTACTGATTGTTTTAAATTGAAAATATGTTTTTTTTTTCGTAAAAATCTAATCTTTTTTTACTTCTACTAGACCAGGACGGATCTGTCGAAATATCCCACTTTTTGGATGTAAGAGGGGGCAAGCTAATTTTTGCCAGAATACCTTCAGTACAACTCCCATAATAAAAGTGTAGATCCTTGGTTCTGGGCGAGGTCCGGAACATTTTCAAAATTGCAAAAATGATTAAAAAATGTTTTAAAACACCTATTTTATCCGAGTTTTTTACTTATATCGTGGAACCTATGCATTTTGGAATAATATTGAAGAGGAAAAAATTTTTAAAATTGAATTTTGCAAGTTAAAAATGTTTAAATTTATTACCGATGTTGTAAAATAGCAATAATTGATGAAAAAAAGGCAAAATAATCAAGTTTTTTGGATAATTTTTAAAAAATATTTTAATTGCTCCAAGGGCATTTTAATTTTGGTAAAAAGTACTATAGAGTATAATAAAACAACACACCAAATTTCATTAAAATCATCATTCATTCATCCTGTATTAGTAGATACGTGTCATATACAGAATGTAACCTTGCCTAAGTATAAAAAATTTCTGAAGGTAATTCTTTGAATTATGTTAGTTTTATATTCATCAATATCATCTTTATTTATGAATGCAGTTGTACTAATCTGGCTCAGTTATAAATCTATTGTAATTTGTAATTTGTTCCTATCTAATTATTATTCAAAAGTGGGTAGCCTAAATTTGACAAATAAATGAGCGACCTTATTGTAGTCTATAAATTTGTGATATATTCTGTGGTAAAAAATTCTTAAATGTAAAACAAGCTTCAGAAAACCATTATACAGGGTATTTAATTAAAATAGGACATATCCTTTTTAAATCAATATCGCGTGATTCTTAATAAATCAAACTGCATATTTCTTCTGAGTTTAAAATTTGCTTTGTTTACATATAAACGACGATGTTAGTTGACACTAATGTCACTAAATCACGTGAGGATTATTTATTAATCATTATAGACACAGTGATAACAAGAACGGTACATGTTAATGGTAATTCCTGCTAATGAAAGACAAGACATTTAATAGTTTTATTCCTATTTTAAAAACAATTGCTTTTACTTAATTTTGAACATAAAATAAACGTAACAAAACATTTCAACTCCTTTTTCTTAGTTATTGCATATTTGTGGAGATATTTCACAGGTCAATTTTCTTCATAAACAACCAATATTTGAATGTTGCATACACATTCACAAGTGATTGTTTACTATAGCTGAAAGATTTCGCAGTAAATTACTGAAATATTAGGTGGTTGCCTAAAAATAACAACCAGAAAAATAAGATCCAGTAAACTGTTTATAATCGCTCATTAAATCATGTTAACGACTCAATTGATCTTGAAAACATGCAGAACAAAGCCTGAATTCGGCTCAAAAAAGAATTGGAGCATCATTAGGCGACCATACACGTTTATGGCGTAAGCGTAATCGTCGTTGTGCTATTTCCGGGGTTGGTGGCACGTTGTTGGTTCAGATTATTAGACGTTTCGAGGCATATCGATGTCTTCAGTAAAAACACAACAATCAAGGGGCCTTGATGTAGGACTTCACCACCAACTATCTTGATTTTATCGCCTTTTATATCTGAAAAATATCCTGATAGAGCAGCTTGACACTTTGGAGCCTTGCCATGAAAATATGCATTTAAAGCAAACACCAATCGGAAATCTGACACTTCCGCTAGACAAAAATTAGTTCGACCATCTAGTTGGCACCAGCAACTGTTACCAATGCCATTAAAGCTTGCCGCACACGAACTTTTTCGAATTTAATTACCGTCAACAACGAAATTGGCCGTATTTACTGCCTAATCGTTGACCCATCAAGTAATTTAGCAAGTCGTACGGTCCAATAACCGTAGTTTACTTAAGTCCGTTTCCTGTTGAGCCCCCTAATGACGGAACGTACATTTGGTATGGCGGGTGCTTCCGTTTCGGATTGTGACAAGCCCATACGGGAAAATTAAATTAAAAAAAAGTTATTACTTGATTATATACTATTATTATACAATAATTACATTAATGAGAGTAGATAGACAAATAGATGAGGTCAAAATAATATCAGTGCTTCATATAATTTTTTTTCATACAGGCCTTCGTTAACAAGTTACGGGCCCTCATGAAAATTAAAAAGTTATTTTTATTTATAGTCTCTAAACTATTAACTTCGGCACGATGCAAATTTGGTGTTCGATAACACATGCGTACAGCTTGTTTTTGATGTTGTAAGTGAAACTTCATTATGCCCAGAACGCCAGGGACGGACTATGCCCAATGGTTAACAACCCAGAAAGAGTATAGAAAATCTTACTGTCTGCTAATGTAATTTTCACTACCAAAATTTGACAAACACACTTTACATATAACACAAAATAGAAAAAAAAAACAAGAATAAGTTAAAATAAGTAAAAAAGATAATTTAAAACAAAGAGTTAATAAACTTTCTTCGATTGAAGTGGACTGTATATTTATCAATTAAAAACGTTACTTTTGACAAAATATTGAGACGTGTTGCCTCAACAGGCCTTCGTACACATCTGTCTTTTAGTTGACCGTGCAGGGTGCAGACGGTATAGAAAATAGATTTTATGTATGTTGCAGGCCTCTTAAAGAAGGTCTGTCACAATTGATGAAGAGCAAGATGTGTACGCCAGGACCGTCTTACGTTTTAACAATGTGTAAAGTGTGTTTTGTTAGTGAAAATTACATTAGCAGACAGTAGGATTTTCTAGGCTCTTATTTTAAAAATATTTACGGTTCTAACATTCTAACATAGTAATTATGTCCAATTAAAAATTAAAAACAAAAAATGGTGGAGGCGTTGCTCGATGTGTACTATGACATAAAACCACAAATATTTCCTAAACTGTTAATTTTATCAAGTTGAACCAAGAGGGTATTATCGTTGGCAAATTCTTCAGGGAACTTATTTTTGATACTGGCAGATTGCGATCGCCATCTAAGCAAAAATTCTGGGCTGTTAACCATTGGGCATAGTCCGTCTCTGGCGTTCTGAGCATAATGAAGTTTCACTTATATCAAAAACAAGCTCTACGCATGTGTTATCGACCACCAAATTTGCATCATACTGAAGTTAATAGTTTAGGGACTGTAAATAACAATAACTTTTTAATTTTCACACTTGTGGGCCCGTAACTTGTTAACGAAGGCGCGTATGAAAAAAATTTATATGAAGAACTGATATTATTTTGACCTCATCTATTTGTACTCGACTATTTTGTACCGAGACATCCTGTATATTTTCTTATATTTACACCAAATTACTCATTTTATGAAAAATAACACTAACTGTCAAATAAATATGCGTATATTTTACAAGAACACATTAATAGTTATAGAAAAATATAAAAGTAGTTCAAAATAGCCATTTCTTCTACAAAAATCTGCAGACCCTCACCCGCCAACCATAGTTCTGTACGGCATCGGTGCACTATGACAAGGCACGCAAAACTAGTTGCACGCAAAAATAGTTGCAAGGATCCTATTTCGCTCACCCGGTGACATTTCACATCTCAGCCTTTGTCCTCAAAACCTAACCTAACTTCGTGCATCTATCACAAGTAGATCACCACGACTTGTCCGTTCCAGAAGATGGTGACGCGGATCTGAGGTTTCTCCCTTTGCGACATTTTGTAAGAAAGTTCACCACAATGGTCAGTTTGTATTGTAGTGGAATCGGGACAGGAAAAGCTGGGCGATTCGCGGCTCGATGCCAGACTGCCAGGCTTTATTTTTAGACCGCATTTTCGACGCGTTTCTACATCTACGACTCGGCTTAATGCACGCGGAGCGGTTTCTGGGCTGTTGATCGGCGGAACGTCGTACAACGTAAATAAAACGTTATTTATTTTTCGGCACGTCGAGTACCAGACTCGAATTACAGATTTACAGTTTGATGCGTTGTTTAATGTACGGAATATACGGTTATGTTGGCGATTTGTTTGCTTTTTTTACGGTTCCGAAGACCTGTAGCAACAAATCATGTAAAATTTATTGTAACTGAAGGTAACGCCTAATTTTAACGGCAAATAGTCGCTACCGATCAAACGTGCAATTAAGATTATGGTTAAAGCTGGGTTTACACTGAGCGACCGACGACAAATATTTAGAGGGCTAATTTAAAGGATATTAGATCTTTGTTGAGCTACCCGAATTCATAAACAAAGTACTATATGCTGATTTACATCTCATCGACAACTAAAACACAACATATTTGTAATCCTCGACTGCTATTGATCTACAATTAATTCAAAATTAAAAAAATTCACCAGTAGGTACAAATAAATTACAATGAAATCTTTGATACAAATAAAAGGATTGACCATACTGCTGACCTACAGCTTTATACTGTGGACTTCCTAAAACTTCTTTGAAGTAAAAAATTGCATTATTCTGATCTACTACTGTTCAGAATTAAAAGAACTGATTATACTACTAGACCAGCGCGGATCTGTCGAAATAACCCACATAATAAAACTGTAGATCCCTAGATCTGGGCGAGGTCCGGAACATTTTCAAAATTGCAAAAATGGTAAAAAAATTTTAAAAAATACCTATTTTATCTGAGTTTTTTACTTATATTTTGGAACCTATGCATTTTGGAAGAATATTGAAGAAGAAAAAAGCTTTAGAATTGAATTTTGCACAAGCAAATCATAAAAATATTTAATTTTAAAGTCTACTACCCACTGTTTATGAAAAACGCAATATTTTCATGCAGATATTCTTCAGTCTAGTCATTCCATATAACGACCAATTATAGTGGATATTTTTAAACGTTGCACACAAAACAACAAACTGCTCTATTAAATATGCACCCAAACAAGTTAAACGACACAGCAGAAAGAACAACAGACATCTCTTTTGTGGAAATTTATTTAAATTTTGCATTAGTAAATTGTTTGGAGACAGAGCAAAATGGGATGTGTATATTCAAATATGTTCCCAGTTACAGAATAGTAGGGAATAGTTTTGTTTGTTAAGGCGAAGTTGCAAATTAAACTTAAACACTGAGTATTTGTTTTACCACAGTTCGATGAGTCATTTATCATTGCTATCAAAAAGGGAGATGGCGATTAAAATATTCTCAAAGGGGGCAGAGATAAGAAAAATATAATTACGTGCTTATGTCAGATTGATCGCTCGTATTTACACAATATTCCGAAATAGTACCTAGTTACTAAATAAATAGTCGTTACTAAATAACGGTAATTATAATATCCGCTTATTTTCAACATTTCCGTTTTTCACTGACGAATATAATACCTTTAAATTGAGAAAGCAGCTCCAAAGCACAGACACAGGGGGTTAAGAAACAATAGTTCGTTTATCAACGTGTAGTTAAGACTATAGTTAAGCTGAGTTTACACTGAGCGACCTACGACAAATATTTAGAGCGACTTTAGAATATCTTTGTTCTTTTGGTATTGAAAAGTGATAAAAAATTACGACTTACCGAATAATATCAATTTATTAATTTGATAAAGTTATTGAGAAACTAGTTTCTAGCCGATTGAATTTATAAACGAAATTAGCCACATTATGTAGAAAAACTGCATCATTAAATATTAGGAACGAGAAACATTACGTTTCGTCGGTCGACCTTGTACAATTTGAACCTTAGAACAATTTTTTAGGTGGCAACTTCGTTTATTCCTTAATACGTAACACTTGGCGAAATTATAAAATATACCTATAATCTTTCAGTTCATATAAACATACAGGGTGATTCACAAACGGTGACCAAAAATGAAACATCGTATCTTTGGTAAATGTTAAGGGGAGTCTTTCCCTTACAGGGTGTTAAACTTAAAAAAATAACTATATTCACATAATATTCACCAAAGAATACGAGGTCTCATTTTTGGTCACCATTTGTGAATCACCCTGTATATTAACAACTAATAAGCCTGTACGATTTGTATGTCTGATCATAAATTAAAAAATAATCACCGGAGATCCGAAATACGTACAACGCTATCTATTTATTTTGTTTTAACAGTACCTCTGTGAAAAAATTTATGCCACAACATCGAACATTCTATTCCCCAAAAAAGCTATCTATATTTTCATGATTTTAACTCATACTTTATTAAAACACAATAAATTAACAGCTTTCTCTTGCAAACAAATTTTAATTGACGGCAAGATACAATCATTGTTGCAATTAAATCAAAATTGGCAATGATACAAAATCGTTCTTGCTTTGCAGCCATTAATGCTTGTAGAAATAGTTATGAGCAATATCTGCTTTAAGCATTATGCATCGGAAACATCTGTTTTTTATTCAGAATGAATTTGTACCTACTAGAATTAACGAAATTTATGAAAACGGAATGTTATAACATTTATTATTAGTGTAACAAATCGGGCGACATTACTGATGTTCAATGAGGCGCATAGGCACGAATTTTTTTAACAAAAAGCCGTTTTCGTAACGCAATTTTGCTTACTGCACAGTACACACTGCTGTTGCGTGCCATTATTTGACACCAGCCAATAGAGAAAAAAATCAATCGGACCCGAACGTTAACCTTGAATTCCAGCAAATAAATCTCATCTAATGATTTCTCTTAAATTAATATAACCTTAACTTTGATCGGCATGGCGAAAGAACAAATTACTTTAGGCGGCACTAATGAATAAATTACTTAAACAATCTGGGCACGAGTTTGAAGATAGTTCTTTGAAAGTAATTTCACGAAATGGTCGGGTATTAAAAATTCAAGGCAATATTGCACAAGTACGGTTTCTATTAATTCCTTATAGGGATAATCGGGACATTTCTTGAAAAAAGCTGTGTATCTCGAGACTGCGGTGAGTCACTCAGGGAGTCTTTGTTTGTGAAAGGTCACTGAAATCGTAATAAGGAAAAATCTTTATTATGCGCATATATTGTCTTATCAAAGTTCGACATTTATTAGTATTTTCAATTAAAATTACCACATAGCAACCGCAGATCAATGAAATCGCCCAATATATTCCTATTTTTAACTTAAAAAACAGGATTAAAATTTAAAATTTGTCGTAAAAGGACTGATAGCATTTAGGAGGTGACTGGCTTTGTTTTTCTGCGACATTCGGCCGAAAAATGAATGGTACTTACATTACTAATCTTGAGATGATTGAGGTTATCATTTTTAAACACTAATTTCACTATCATACACTAATTCTTTGACGTCCTAGTGTCAAAACAAACAAAAATTTAAAGGCAAACAGCTGAACGTTTTCATCGCGCCAGCTATCACAGACATCTTGATCGTTTATTGCCCCACTCGTTTTGTATTGAGCATGGAACCCCACGGAGCCATAACGTGTCGGATAAATTGACAATAATGGGGTCTAAGGTTCGGTTCACACGAACCTACTCCGTATTACTCGAAGCAATATGATTCTGACGATAATAACATTTAAAGATTCCATTCATGTTCAAACATGTTGGATAAAGTTCGTTTCATATTTTTTAATATAATTTATGAAGTTTAATTACTTTTTAACCTTTAAAAATCCTTAAAAACTACCGTTCCATGGACAAAAAATAGAAAAGAGTTTTTAACAGTTTAAAATATGTTTTTGGTTCGTTCACAATGTATTGCATTTCTTTTGTTATTCATTAGAAAGCTTACGACTCATTACAAAGTTGCAACCCTTAAAAACCATCCCTTATAATAAAATAAACAGAAAAATATTATTGAAAGCTTGATGTCTTAATGGTTGAATTATAAACTTTTTATTGGTTTTCAAATGATCTATGATATATTGTAACTTTTCAGCCACCTAAAAAACCCTTATGGAAGACCCACCCCTCATAAAAAACCCTACCCCTTATAGAAAAATTTCCTAAAAATTATATGTGAGTATGGTGATATAATTAATTTTTTTCAATTTTATTCAATTTATTCTTAATATTTTTTTACCATGACTTTTGTAATTTTAAAGTTATAAATTTACTCAAAAACCATTTTGTAGGGAATTTAAATCACTTTAAGTTCTGTGATTTGCAGTTTTTTTTAGCCCTTCGTTTTTTAGATTTGTAAGCTAAAAGGGCTCAGGAAAGGCAGCATTGGAGCTTAGTTTTGAGTTTCTAATGGGCATAACTCAGTCGAATTTTGTCCTACAAAAATTTAAAAGAAAGCAACTTGTTCAGTAAGAAAAAACCTACAATTTCTTATTCCGTCATTTTTTTATAACTTTGTTAGTTTTTGAAATATTTTGAAAAAAGGCGATTTTTTAAAAAATTTAAAAATTTTATTCAACAGTAAATGAAATATATTTTTTAAAATTTAGGCTCCTAAAATCGTTTAAATTCCCAGAATCTACTGTTAATACATAAATAAAGTAAATTCCAGAAGGAATACGTTTAATTTTTTTCCGTCAAGTCATTAATTTTAATACCGATTTTTTTTTGGGCTATTCCCTAGCTACAGTTCAAATTTCACGTCAATCTATTCTATCCGAAAAAATCGGTAACCACAATGCCTCAGTGACTGGACTACTAACATTACTGAAGAGTTACTCATTAAAATACGAAAAAAATAATGTTGACGCGCGCATGTTGCCACTATGGAATTATCAAAAATATCTAAGTTCCGAGTTAATTAAAAATTTCTATGTCGATGACCCTTTTATTGATGTTTTCTTATTCTTTTTCATAACGTGATACCTTACTTTAAATAAAAAAAAAATAATTTTCTCTCAGATCTTACATTAATTTATCGAATTTCCACAACACTCACTTGCCATCTTTAATTATGAAATGATCTAATAAAAATCTTCTTGAGGCTTGGACTTATTTTGACTGCTGTTATTTTGTTTTAAACATTTTGGTACCTATAAATAAATAATTTTCATAAGCAAAATTACTGCCCTACCTTTTAATTCTTTAAACTCGTTTGTTACATGACGAATAATATTCCACAAAACTTTCTAGTATGAGTAGTATGCTACTGAAAGTTCATATATTTTTAAAGAAACGAACACAAAACATGAATACCTACGTTTCTATAAATTTTTATTCAGTTAAATTCAACTTTATGTACGTTATAGAGTCGTATAACAGTTTACAATTATTCAAAGTATACACAACTAAAGTCCACGAACCAATGATATACCAGTCTAAACAGTGTAAACCGAGCTTAGCGTTCCGCCGTAGTTCAATGCAGTTGGCCTTGCTCCAGCGCGATGCTTCGGTTGCTAACGAAAAGATGGCGGCACGGTGCGTCCGGCATGTGGCTCCATCTGTGCGGTTTTCGGCGTAAGCCGTGCAGTTCGAACGAGAGAAACACCTCCGAGGAGGTTTGTTTCTGTTTTCTCCTCGTCCTCGTGCACCGATGGAAACCGAAACCCTGGAGTGCGAGCGCGAAGTCTTGAATACGCCGCACACTAGGCTAGAATTGAAAATCTTTACGAGCGATGTGCGAAGTAGTGCGCGCCCAATGCACACAAAATATCACGCGAGTTTCAAAAAGCCGAGTTGTTAAATAATTAATAAAAGAATAGTGTTTATGGAGTTGCTTGTTGGAGTGTGTTGAGTTTTTGTTGAAATTTAGTGGTGCAATGGCATACAAGTGTCGCGAGGAGGTCGTTGGGAAACGGTTCCTGTCTGTGAGTGGATTTAGTAAGTTAAAATCTGGGAAAATTAGTGAGTGGGGGTGGAGGAGTGGTGTTGTACGAGCTGCTACACATAGGGATAACACTAATCAGGATCTACAGGTAAATAAAAAGGTTATTCCAGGCCCCTTCGAGTGGCATTTAAAAAGGGGGTGTGTACCTACATGTGTACCCGATCAGCGATGTAATCTATTCGATACTGTTATTTACTTAAAATAACCTGTTGCCAATCGATAGTTTTATTTATATGTACCTACTTTACATCGATCTGGGCAGCTATTTGTTTAGCTCGAATTTGATTCCACGTAACATAAACACTTGCCAATTCTAGCATTGCAATTCACGAAAAATACATCCCTGCGTTTGATTTGGACATTTTAAGGAATTTGCCAAGTTGGGGGAGGTACATGTACGTTAAATATTTGAGAAGCTTAGGTACTTTGATGGTCTACGTGACGTTTGCACGGTAAGCAAGACGAGTCGATATTTCGTCTTACTATGGCCCATACCCTTAAATATATGAATTTTTAACACAACATCCTTCCTTTCTTACTACATGTTACAATACAAGTGAAACTACGACATTCCACATTAAAAATCCCAAACAAATACTGTTATTTTATAACAATACTTAGTGACATTAAAAAGTATTGATGTCAAAATGAATGAAAGAATTTAGTTAGGTGTAATTTTTCTTAATTCTAAGTTGTTGGATAATCTAGAATGTACTAAAACAATTTAGCTTGCATAAGCGACGTGACGTCTCAGTCGAATACCTATGCCCAGCCACCCACGGTATTATTTTTAGATTTTTAATTGCAAAAATTCTAGGAAAAACTGGAGTTTTTAGGTTAAATATAAAGTTTACACGTTTGCTTTTAAATAACTTGCAATCAATAGAAGTGAAAATATTTTTTTATTATAAAACTTTTTTGGAAGAGAAATTAAAGCATCCTGATGATACAATTCGAAATAGAACTAAACTAAAATGTGTGATTGATGACACAATGACACACAAATTCTATTAAAAAAAAGTCATTTTGAATGTCACTTTTTTATTTTAAAATTAATGAAAAAATGCCATTATCAAAACTTCTATTTGCCCTCAAACTCATAAACATGTCATTACTATCTCGGTTTTATATAAAGGGTGTTAAATTTATTGAAAAATTTGTATGTGACAAGCAGGTTATTGAAATTTTTTTGAAACTAGTTTAAATTATTTCGCAAAAAATAATTACTTCAATTCATATCAGTAAGATGTTTTGGACATAATTCTGATTCCCATAATTAAGCCATTTATACAGTATGTAATTACGAGAATCATAAATGAAGTTCTCTACTTTAGTCATATTTACAACCTTAGAATTATTAGCAATATCTTTTATTGACACCTGGAGCTTTCAAAATATTGAAGCAGTTTCAAATTAAAAAATAAAAATGTTATTTCCTCATAAATTTGCAAATAAAAAAGTTCAGATCACATTCGTGAGACACTTATATAAAAAAAAAACGGTAGGATGATTTTATTTTTATACAGGGTGGGCCATTAGTGTGAGAAAGTAAAATAACTCCCTTGTTATTCATAATACAGAAAAAGAGTTTATATAAAAGTTGTACAGAATCAAAAAACCTAAAGGACAAAATTAATTTGAAACACACAGGGCGATGAATAAAATCAGAACACGCCAAATATTACATTTTTTAAATGGAACACCCTATATATTTTTAAATATATGGATTTCTGAGAAAATTCTATATATGGTAATATAAACAGTTTAACACTTAGTGCGGGGTTACCAAGTTATGTAGAAAATTCTTCGAATTTTGGAAAAAACATAACTCGAAGAAGTTGTATTAACTTTCAACTACTAACACTTGGTGCAAAAATATTTGACACAGTTATATGCAAATGTTAGGCAAAGACTCCTATATTAGCTAATATCGATATTTTATACAGGACATTTTTTATAATACGATCAGTTTTAGAAAGTTCAAGCTTGATTTTCTAAAATTTTTCAAATAGAACACCCTGTATTTTATTATTCAATTTTATTCACATATCAGTCCACTTCAACTTTTATTAAGTATGTTCTACACCTAAAGTTGTTAGTTTTTAAGATATAGCAACATTTCTGGAAAAACATAATTTTTATTAGGATCTTCAGTCGCACGAAATGGCTTTGGAAAAAACTATCACATTGTGTCAACTTGTCAGTTCATAATTTATCGTTCCATATTGAGTCAATTTTATTAGTTAATATTTATTTGTGGTCTTATTCTATAAAATAATAAAAATTACTTCGTGTTTTCAGAAATGTTGCTATATCTTAAAAACTAACAATTTTAGATATAGAACATGCTTAATAAAAGTTGAATTGGACCGATATGTGAATAACATAGAATAATAAAATAGAGGGTGTTCCATTTGAAAAATTTTATAAAATCAAGTTCAAACTTTCTAAAAATGATCGTATTATAAAAAATGCCCTGTATAAAATATCGATATTAGCTAATATAGGAGTTTTTGCCTAACATTTGCCTATAATTCTATCAAATATTTTTGCTGTACATAGTTGAAAGTTAATACAACTTCTTCGAGGTAATGTTTTTTCCAAAATTCGAAGAATTTTCTACATAACTTGGCAACCCCGCACTAAAATGATAAACTGTTGATATTCCCATATATAGAATTTTCTCGGAAATCCATATGTTTAAAAATATACAGGATGTCCCATTTGAAAAATGTAATATTTGGCGTGTCCCGTTGTTACTCATCACCCTGTATGTATCAATTAATTTTGTAGTTTAGGTTTCTTGATTCTGTATAACTTTTATATAAACTTTTTTTCTGTATTATAAGTAACAAGGGAGTTATTTTACTTTCTCACACTAATGGCCCACCCTGTATATTTAACTCTTTTTTATAAAAAAAAATTAGAGGATATTAGAGAATGACATCACCGATGATCGCCGACTATTTTTAATGTAATGTGGTTGTTTTTATTTTTCCAGATTCCTTATAGAACATATTTTTAATTTTTTTACCTAATTGGATAAGCTCGTGTATAAGCAGTTTATTTAAAAAAAATAGATTTTTTCACTTACGCTGGGAATGCACCCTTCATTTTCAGTAACGAATAATTTGAAAAAAATCTAAATAGAAAGTTCACGAAAGTTCTTTATTGAAACTTTTTCAAATAGCAACTGTAGAATTTTGACAGTAGAATATTGCGGTGCCCTGTATACAGAGTACTTCAGAATAAAGTACTATAAATTCAAGGACTGATAGAACATCAAATATAATTTTTTTTTTGTAGATCATGGATCTTTTATCTTTGAGATTAAAGATAATTTTTTAAAATCAAATTTTTGCTATACCTATTTATGAAATTTAATATGATTAACTTTTTTGAGTTTACATATTACTCAAAAGCTTGATTCTCGTTAAAAAGTTTGTACCTATGTATTAGTTATTTAAACAGACACTATAAAAGACTGAACCTAAAAAAAGTTTTCATAAAATGCCTGAAAGAACAAAAGTGATGTATTTAGCACCCTCAAAAACTATCAGCCTCAAGTGTTAATGCATTCAGTTGATTTATGGTTAAAATCGTATTTAAAAAATCATTTTTAGAGCTCTCTATTTCACTCTTGAAGTCTTGAACCATAGGAAAAACTCTCTTCTTATTTTTTGATGTTCTATGGCACCATTTTTCAAAACACCCTTTGTAGCTGGTTTGATTGGTTCGTGATAGATTCTCCGCTAAGAATAGATTTTATCCGTTTCGATTCATTTGGGCTGTTAGGGATACACCAGCCGTCGTATTTAAAGCTTATACAGTGGATTATTTTGAGGCCGCACGTTTCGCAGGTTCGTCCGTTGACCCCGTTGCGATCAGCTCTAGGCTACCAGACCGGGTACCGGTCTGGCCCTCTACGTGCCCGCATACAGGGGGTGCCAGCCGCTCGAGACAGCCGCCGCTGCCGCCTAGGTGTTCTGTCTGAGAATTTGAATAGTCCGGATCGGGCTTTTCAACCGTTTTTTAGTCCTACCGACGAGCAGAGAGAGACATTCGGTATAGCTTTTTTTTTAACTGGGAATATTTTTATTTTTGATCAGAGCATCGTCTGCTAAATCACCACCCATGCCATTTCTCGTCTGTTTCATTCCCCGTTCCCGTGTCGGCACCTAGGATTTTTGACAAGTTTCTTCAATTGTTTAGATCATTAACTGACATTTGACATTACAAAGCCATCGCGATCTAGCTGATTACGATCAGAGAAAATTCGGTGGCGATAAGTCTATTAGTTTTGTGACAATTCATATTTGAGGATTTTATAATAGATCTTATCATTGCCAATAAATTTAAAGTTTGGTAATCTGTTTTCATTCATGGAGTTGTCAAAATATGTAGACGTGATATCCAGAATAGTACTTACCAGGACGTTATCAAAAATATCAGCTGACTAGTGATGGGAGATTTCGAGTGAAAAATCGAGTGGTACTCGATTATTGAGATCACTCGAGATATCTCGAGATGTTTACTCCCACCACTCGAGTGATTATTACCCTACGGTTGCACCCCAAAATGTTAGTGCATACTGCAAATAGTCACTGATTGCGTAACCTTTTATTTAGAATAAAACGAAAAAGTGGTTAGGTTTTGAAGTGCGTGAGCTTTTTTTTTTTTTTAGCTACGCTTATAAGTAATATATGACTATACAAACATATTTGTGTGAAAACGACCAATATCTCGTATCTCGAGTGATCACTCGATTATTAGAAGTACTCGATTATCAAAATTGGTCGATTATGCCCATCACTACAGCTGACAAATACAGAAAAATTAAATTTTCCATTTCGTAATAGAATTATTTCGTGTTTGGTAGTAGTTTTTGTTTTTATATTAATTTTTCCATGACGTTTCTATTTGTACACGGCGTACCGAATATAGTTGAAATACCTAAAAGCAAAAATAAGCAGACGTAAAAATCTTTAGTACCTATGTATCTAAATCTAAACAGCATATTCGTATGAATTGATATGAATTTCATTACAGCAGAAGTAAAAAAGAACAAATTAAATAAGAAATAATAAT